AAGGGGTGCGTTGTTTGACAACGGCTTTGTTAAGATTCACCGCTCAAGGCCGAGGGCTCTAGGCCGAGGGGATGGTAATGTGCCTCGAAGTCGAGGGCCCAAGGCTGAGACTAACGCCGAAGGTGAGGAACATGATTAGCGGAGGTGGCGCTTCTTCGGCTGGGGCTCCTCGAACTCCTCTCCGTCACTGAGCCTCCCGATTTCATGTTTCTTTGTTGCGATGTCCCCTTCTTCTTTATCGGTGTTCTCCCCGGTGTTTTTACTTGGGGCATTTTTGATGAATTGGTGGAGCTCACCCCGTTGAATTAAGAGTTCAATAGTCTTCTTTAACGAGACACAATCGTCTGTATTGTGGGAGGTGCTTTTGTGGTAACGGCAATAAGTGCCGCCTTGGTGGATGGCGTAGATCTCCCTCGCCGACCGAGGGTCCTTGGGGAAAAGGTCCTGCTCTTCCGCATAGTTGAGGATAGTGCTCACCGGGTGCGTGAGGGGAGTCCTCGGCTTGTCCAGCCGAGGGCGCCATTGGCGTTCGTTACGGCCCTGCTGGGTGTGGCTTCCACTGTCTCGGCCTCCGGCCGAGGGCACATTTGGGACCGGCGTGTTGTTTATCTTCTTCGAGGGCTGGCCCTCGTTCTTCTTGAAGGAGTGGAGGTCGTCGGCTTTGGCGTATAGGCTCCCCCGCTGGAGTGCTCTGAGGTATGATCTTGGGGGGTCGGTGATGAGGCTCCGTGCGTAGGGGCTGCTGCGGAGAACCCCCTGGCAGAGGACGAGGAGGGTACGCTCGTCGGCGCCCTCGACCTCGTCTGTCTCCTTCATCCACCGGTCAATGAAGGACCGAAGTGTTTCGTCAGGTTGTTGCTTGACGGAGAGGAGCTGGGAGAAGTGCTTTCTCGCGCGCTTCCTTCCGGAGAAATGGGTGAGGAAGCGTTGGGCAAGATCTTGCCAAGAGTCAATGCTTCCCTCGGGCAATCGATTGAACCATTCGTATGTTGGTCCCTCCAAGGTGGAAAGGAACCAACGACATAAGTATTCATCTGATGCCCCCATCATCATCATGTTGTTTTGATACCTGTTGTAGTTTTCCTGGGGGTCAGTTTTTCCTTCATAGGGCTTGATGAGTTGCCCTCGGTACTTTTCCGGGATTTGGGCCGCCAATACCCTTGGGGTGAATGGCGTCCGGGTCCGGAGCTGGATGATGGGTTCCCCGGAGCCCTCGGCTACCTTCTTCTGTAATTCCTCCATTTTGGCCATCATGGCCTCGTATTTGAGGTCTGAATGGGGGGTGGAGGTGGTGGCGTGAGCTTTGTCGGCCTCCATTTCATCAAGTTGGCGTTGGAGGGCCGCAATAATTTCGTCCCGGGGGTCCTTCGGGAGGGTCTCCGCCCCCTGCGAACGAACCCGGGCCGAGTGGGCCTGGTTGATCTGGTGGTGAGCATCGTCGGCATGAAGGGGTGCCTTGCCTTTGTCCCGAGGGGGACGCTCCTCGTCTGCCCTCGAGACAGACCCTCTGCTTTCTTGGGGCCCTCGGCGGTCTTGCCCCCCTCCGAGCCGGTTGAGGGCGGAAGTGCGGGGCCTTTCTCTGTTGTCATTGTGGCGGTCCCGAGACTGAACTTCCTGGGAGGCCGTGTCTTGGGCCACTACCCCTTCGTCATTCCTAACCCGAGGGATGGGGTTTCCGAAGGGGTGTGGCAGAGGGGGAAGTACGATGTTCTCCCCAACCTGGGGTTGAGCCGGAGCCAGGGTGCCGAAGGCACCCGGGTTCTGAGTTAGCGTCTGGATGAAGGTGGAGAGTGCCGAATGAACGTCGATGGTGAGGACCAGAGGGCTGACTTGCTCATCGCTCCGGTTTTTCTTCTTGGCCTCGATGCCGAGGCGGGCATCGGGGGCATTCTGCTGGATCTGAAGGCGTAGGTCGACAGCCGCCTGTTCCAGCCCAGCGATGACACCGCCCTCGGGAGCCTTGTGAGAGGCTTCGGGGGCGTTGACGTCGCCGAGGGCCAGGTTCTTGTCTTCTACGTTTTTGGAGTTGACACGTGTTGTTCTAACCATTTTGGTAGAGGGCTAGTGTTTGGCGAAGGGGGAGGGTTTCTTACTTGATCGTTCGACCTCTCAACGAGAGCACCAAATGATGGATAGTGTACCCGGGGGGTAGCTTATCCGAGGGGTTATTGCGGAGAATAACTAGAGAGAAGTCAGAGCAAACAAGTAAGAGAGAGAGTGTATATTCGATATGTATTAAGCGTGGTTTACAATGGGGGAAAGAGGTGCTATTTATAGTGGTAATAAATGCTAGATAAGGACACGTGTCAGTTTTCTGGTGGTCGAGGGGTCACCTCGACCGGGGTGGCACTGGCACTCGCATGTGGCCGCATTAAATGCGGTGGTTGGATGTGACGTTTGTACTTGGTACGATGATCAAGGCGCATGTGAAGAGGATATTCTGTCGAGGTGGATACCTTCGGCTGAAGGGTGCTGGGCCGAAGGCTCTTCTAACCGAGGGCTCCTACCTGCCGAGGGCTGCAGGTGCTGAAGGCTTGGTTTTCAAGCCTTGTTCTCCTGTGATGCCTCTTCTAACCGAGGGCTCCTACCTGCCGAGGGCTAGAGGTGCCGAAGGCTTGGTTTTCAAGCCTTGTTCTCCGGTGATGCCTCTTCTAACCGAGGGCTCCTACCTGCCGAGGGCTGCAGTTGCCGAAGGCTTGGTTTTCAAGCCTTGTTCTCCTGTGATGTTTCTGAGCTCGATTCCGTCACTGGTAGCCTTCGGCCATAGGGCCGAAGGCACCCCTTTGCGTATTGTGGGCTGCTCAGAGCTCCATTTTGCTGGGCTTGGCCCGTTTGGGCCTGTTGGGCATGATTGTAGTAGAGGAAGTATGTGGGTCGGGGGTCCCTGGGCCATATACTCCATCACATTCATTTTAGGTTTTTTTATATTTAACAATTTTATTAAAAGTAGAATTACTTTATGACTTTTATGTTTTAATTATTGATAAAAATTTGATTTGATTTGATTTTAAAACATAGCATGATTGGATAGTTACTCCTTTTGAGAGAATTTAAAAGTTACTCCATATATTTCTATTTGTGCCATTTAAGTTTCATTTGGTCCGTCTCCCTAGCGGCTTTATCGTCGTGTAGGGTTTTCTTCCACCAGTTGTTTGTGCGGATCTTCTTCTCTCTAGGCTTCTAGAGTGCTCTTTAAGTTTAGAATGTTGGTTCTGGTTTCGGGATTTAGGCGACTTTCAGATTATCCATTGGATCTCGAAGCAACGACAAGGTTTCATCTTTGTTTTCTGATCTCTTTGCTCGGTTTGTGTGAGGCAATCTTAAAGGAGGCATGAGTGCGGCTGCAACTTTTGGAAACGAATCTAAAATTCAAAAAATGATAATCATGTCTTATATGGAAGATTTAGAGCAACGTTGTTTCATTCCTGCAATTGAGGAGGATGCCGAAGGGTTAGTTTCGGGAAAATCAACAGGGGTAGAGGGTGGTGATGGTAGTGGAGGCGAACGGGTGACGAGAAGACATGGAGAGGTGAAGGGATGACCAAGGGAGAAGACAGATCGGCGGTCCGCCCACCCTCCTGAACTGCCGCCTTGGAGCAATCGAGGTGATAGGGTTTAGAAGATTTATCTATTTAATTTTATATGATTTTATTTTCCCGTTACGTTTTATGTTACTCTGCTTTTTGTTGATGTCTTTAGTTTTAGGTCTACAGTCATGATTGACAATTCTGCTAGATATTATGTCGTTAGAAGAATCTATATGACTAGTGATTGTTGTGTTACACCCGTTTGGTGGTTAACGATTCGTATTGCTCTTTCAAAGGTGATTATCTCTAAATCTAGCCCCAGTGTTGATAGTGCTAGTTGGTTAGGGATATTGTCAGGGTTGATCCTTTTGAGTTTGTCAGGGTTGGTCCTTTTGAGTTTGTTGTAACGATCCGATTCCTAATGATATTAGTTTAAGCTGTTTGTTTAGATGATAAAAAAAAAAGTTTCATTTGATCTCATTTGGAGAATATCCCTATATATTTTATTGTAAAAGGCCTAGTTATTATTGAGAAAATTACTAGCGCAAGACGACCCTCCTTGGATTGGCCATTTGGGATGGTCTTGTTGTTATGTAAACCTGTTCACGAATACTCATCCTCCGTTCTTTAATTCTTGCAACACTTTGACTTTCATGTTTGCCAAAGCACAACTTTGATTGTAACTATATTTAATTATGTATTAGTAAACATTGTATAAAAAGTTGATATTTTGGAAATTCACATTGATAGGAATTCAATAACATTTTATACGAAATAATTTAATTATGTATATTAGTATAAAATCGTGGTCAAAGTAAGGTATATGAATAGTGCAAAAGTCACAATGTTGCAAGAATTAAAGAACGGAGGAAATATGAAATTAGTGTACATTAACGAACACTTTAGGACTTGTTTGCAATTTCCAAATGTACTTCACTATTAAAGGTCTTTTGAGAATAATAATAATAATAATAATAATAAGTTTTTCCAAAAATACTATTAAAATAAAATTCTTTTTACGAAAATATGGCTAAAAGATTTTAAAATATAGGGTCATGATATAAAACCTGAACATAGGTTATTACACTAAAATTATTATTATATTTACTACACTTTGTGATCTAGTATATGTATATGTGTATATGTTTATGTTAGAATGTTTTTAATTGGTGTGGCTTCGGTCATACACATACCATATCGCATCATTTTTAAACAATCGACTATATAAGACCACATTTAAATAGACCTAGTACCAGTTAGACATTTGTAAAATACACATCGAACAAGCATCCATCAAACCCCTGAGACAAGGTGAGATCATAACAAGTTCAGACCAGAAAATTTTAATTTAACGAAAAAAGGTCCGAGCTTGATATGTTCACGGAACGTTAAGTTTACTAGCTAAATTCCATGGATGTCCAAATTAATGGCAATAAATTAAATGCTTGCACATACTTAAATAGTTATGTTTTCCTTAAATACGCATGCATTAACTTATTTCCTCCGTTTCTTGTGTTCATACAAAGGTCTATTTACGTACCTTGTATGCATTAAATAGACGTCAGTCTGAAAGTCACAAGTATAATCAAAGTTTGGATATAGGGAAAAAATCTTCCATATTTAGACCACCCAGATTCTTGAGTAATATGCATCCATCTTCACAGTTGTATTTTGGAACATTCTTGATTGCTGCTGTTGTTTGTACACGTTTTGTATGCCAAGTAGTAGGTGCTGAATCCCATGAGGATTATCCAACCATCTATGTCGACTCTTCTGGCCAGGGAAATTACCAGACAATCCAAGCAGCAATCGATGCAGTTCCTGCTGACAACAAGGATTGGATATGCATTCATATCAAAGCCGGAACTTATAGGTAATCATCCAATTCCTGAAATAGAAGAAAAAAATGTATGAAAACTCTAAAATATGAGTATTATATTTTTTGTTTTGACATTACTGATTTTAAACGAGGTGGTATACCGTATGAATGACGATACTCCCTCCGTCCCGAAATAAATGTCCTGCTTTCCCAAAATGAATGTCCCAAAATAATTGTCTTTACTTTGAAACTTTCCTTATTTGGAAAACAAATCTATACAAAACAGTGTCAAACAGTGCAAAACAGTGTCAAACAGTGTCGCTGCAGTGCCAAACAGTGTCGCTGCAGTGAAAAACAGTGTCGCTACAATGTGAAATCAACTTCATTTTTTTAATCTATGTGAAGGTCAAAGTAGGACAATTATTTCGAGACGGAGGGAGTATTTTCGAAGCTTCAGTAATTACTCCTCACGAGAACAACAACATCTAATTAAACCAAAACAATAGTAATCACTCCTGTTTAGGAAAAAATGTAACTCTCTTATTTTGAAATTTCTAAACATTTTTACTAATATTTTATTTTGTGCAAATTTTTATAAACTAATTGATTTGTAGAATTGGTGCCTGTTTGAAATGAATCCGTTCACACCCTTGGGTATATACGATCGTTTATTAAAACATAAATTAGGGGAAAAGGGAAAGTGAAAACGGTACAGATTTTAACAGACTATAAGGTAGACACATTTTGTACGCAAATTATATCGTGCAATCGTCGCACCATGAGGATGGTGTACCCGGTTGCAAAACGACGGAGTATTGTGGTCTGGTTTCATTATTTTTTATTCATTTTATTGTTAAAAATTGTAATACCTTTTTTATTTCATATCCGATTTTTATAAATTTTATATTATTTTTTTATTTTTCATGATCTATCAAATGAGACCAATATTGCTTATGTATTTTAACAAATTATGGAACTATTATATCAATGATTATTGGATTATAAGGAAAACCAAACTAAATTTAATATAGAAAAATAATTGTGTAAATCACAATTTATCTTAAAATTGTGTATATAAAAAATTTATTGTATTAGGTATTTATACATGTGAGTTACATATTTTTATATGTGGAAGTTACATATTTTTACACGTAAAGTTACATATTTCTACACGCAAGTTACATATATATATACACATGAGTTGCATGTGATCTGCCTGAATGCGAGTTACATATATTTACACGTAAAGTTACATATTTTTACACGTAAAGTTACATATTTATACACGCGAGTTACATATTTATATACACGAGTTGCATTTGACATGTCTGAACGCGAGTTACATATTTTTTTTACATAAAGGTACATTATTTTACACGTAGAGTTACATATTTATACACACGAGTTGCATTTGACCTGTCTGAACGCGAGTTACATATTTTTTTTTACATAAAGTTACATATTTTTACACGTAGAGTTACATATTTATACACACGAGTTGCATTTGGCCTGACTGAACGTGAATTACATATTTTAACACGTAAAATTACATATTTTTATACGCAAATGTTAATATGTTAAAATTACATAGGCAATATTGATCTCATTTGAAAGATCGTGAAAAATGAAAATTTTGCTATAAATTTTATAAAAATCGGATCAAAAATAAAAAAATTACTAACATTTTTAAGAAAAGGGGAAATAAAAAATAACAAAGTTCACTGAATTTGGGATGCCTAAAAGGCTAAAACCGTATGACGGTATACGATGCTCCTCATCGTATACCGGTCTACGGTATAACAACTGCATTTTGTAAGATGCATTTTTTTGGAGGTTAGAAGTGTAAAACAATCACTTTATCCTTTATTTTCTTAAAACTTGCATCAAATCTAAGTGCATCTTATATTATGGGACGCGGATGTAATAAATTCTTTTAATTTTAATTCCTATCTAACTACTCATCCCACCCGACACCCAATGTCCCATCCCTTGTCCCACCCTGTCCCACTACTTCCTCCACCGGAAAACTTGATGGAATTTTTCTAATTTGTCGTAAGTGAGAGTATGGAAAAAGTACATGTAGTTGGATTCGTTTTCATATAGGTTCATGTGTTTCTTTTTTTATCAAAGTGATTCATGTGTTTGAACTTCATTATCACAAGAGGGTCATGGCGCCTGACGCGGTTAGAAATCACCGAAGGAAGACGATTAACGATAACTCCGGTTTTCAAAAATGCTCGGAAAATTAAAATAAAAATATCGTAAGGTGCGCCTCAACAAGACGACCGCTAGGCAATCTTTCTTTTTTGTTTACACCAACCCTTGTCCCTGCCAAGTTCACTGGAAAGTGATATTAGCGAATTTATTTTTAAAAAACAACCCAAACAGATCCAAAAATTTCAAAGAAGAATGTGGTTTGGAGGTCATCTTGACGAGGTGCACCTTCCATTATTTTTTCTTTTAATTTTCTGGACAATTTTGAAAATTAGAGTTACTGTTCATCGTCTTCCGCAGGCATTTTTAACGGCGTGACCCTTTTGTGATAACGGAATTTAAATACATGAACCACTTTAATAAAAAATGAAACACATGATCATATCTGAAAACGGACCCAACCACAGGAATCTTTTCCGTACTTTTCCCTTTATCTTATTTTCGCTTGAAAAGTTGATGGAAGAATCTTCGCCATCATATGACATATTTCACGGAAGCAATGTCACTACTCATAATAGAATAACATATTTTTCAAAATTATAGGTGTTCATTTGAACACCTTTGAAGTAAAGGGGCTCCTCCACTGTTTAAAATTGAACTAAAAATAATTTTAACTAATCATTAATTTTATGTTAACACACACATTTATCTCATTTGGATCCAGATGTAACTATTTATGCATCAGAAATACATACATATGCACACGTTGATAATAGCTTTCGAGAAGAGATCCTGACTCTCCAGCTATGGGCTAGAAAAAATATTGTGGACCGGTTGGAAACAAAATATATAAATTTTCACATATTTTCTTAAAAAGTATTTCCTGAAATATTATTATTAAAAAAGATAATAATGTGACGATAAATTAATATAGGCAAGTTTTATAGTCACTATCATGTAAAATTTGAACAGAATTGCATTTTTTGTTTACTACTTTTATTATGGTTATGTGTTTGAAATTGTTTTTTTAATGTAAAATAAAGGCTAGAACAGTTTGAAAATTATCACGCATGAGGGGGAAAGTTCCCGAAATAAGACTAAAATAGTTTGAAATTTTTAAAATAGGATTGTCATGTTTTTTATTCTCAAAATAAGACTAATTACTGTCATGTTTAGAAAATACTGCCATGTTTTAAGTCTGGTACTGCCAAAACATGACAGTAATTAGTCCTATTTAGAGAATAAAAACATGACAGTCCTATTTTGGAATTTTCAAACTATTTTAGGCCTATTTCGGGTAATATTCTCTACTTGAGGTGCAATTCGAAAAATAAGGTGGAATTACACTTTAATTTCGTCACACCATCATTTTGTGTCATTCAATTATATTACCTCCGTCCCACTCAACTTTGCCTAATTGATGTTAGGTGGGAAATTAGAATAGTAAAATTTGTGTGACTGAGGTTTGTGCAGAGGAGAGAGAAATGAACAGAGCCACAAAACATTGCTTTAAAAGGAAATGGCTAAGTTTTGGGACAAACAAAAAAGGAAAGTTGGCAAAGTCCAGTAGATCGGACGAAGTAATAGTTTTTTCGCGGTAATAAAAATAAATTTCACTAATTTAAAAGATTTCAACCCTTTTTTGTAAAAAAAAAAAAGATTTGCCTCATCTCCTAAAATTTCATCATCTTTGAACTTTTGGTCATCATTTTAAACTTTGACCAATATGTTTTTATTTATAATATAAAAATTATTTGGAAATGTTCTTCGTTAAAAATACTTTCATAAAAGTATAAAATTTACATCTTTAATAATACTATACTAATAAAAAAAGATTGTTATGTTTTTATTCTTCAATAGAAGTAACTACTATCAAATTTGGAAAATATTATCATTTTTAAAATCTGTTAATGTCAAAACATATTCTCCTATTTAGATATTAAAGACATGACAATTTTCCTTGAAATTGATAAACATTTTTACTCTTATTTAGTGCACTTTCTTTTAAGAATATTTGGGAGTATATATAAGTTCGGAGTACTATTATCATTAAGAATGTTACATATTTTGCAATTTGTTTTTTCCTTATCATTTTGTCACATCTTTTCTAATCAATCGCATTTTGATATTGTTTTTAAGTGTACAGTTTCGGGATTACATAAATTTGATAAATAAATATTTATCATCCATAAGTACAGTCAATGCAAATGCGCGATACCCGCACGGGTAGCTCAGTTGATTCAGTGGTGGGAAATTTGGACCAAGTGACCAAGGTTCGAAACCCGCAGCGGTCGTGTAGAGGTCACAGAACCTGAAATAAGGCTGGGCCTCTGGTGCGCACGGGAAAAAGACCTACCATCATTGGGCCGACTGAGTCACCGTGATTAACATCATCTCAAAAATCCTGTCGGATCGGGGTATGGGGGGCTCGTGGGGTAGGAGATTTGGACCAAGGTAATAGTGTCCTTCGAAAAAGTGAGTGACATACTAAAATGGTCACACATTATGACTTTTTCGATTTTGTTACCCTGTAGTCATATTTTTGTACGGAGCTAGTGTGTGTGTGTATATATATATATATATATATATATATATATATATATATATATATATATATATATATATATATATATATATATATATATATATATATATATATATATATATATGTCTATAAGTAGTAAGCACTTTTTTAGAAATTAACTTCAATATAATTTATTATCAAATTTTTGTAAAAAATATAGAGAGAATTCCCCAAATAGGAGCAATATATAGGCAAAATGCAAAAATAGGAGTACCATGTTTTGAATAGGAGTAACTTTAGTGTTTGGACAAATATACCCCTACCCAAGCCCCAAGCCCCCACAACTTTTAATTAAATGTTTAATTCATAATAAATTCGAAAAAAATTCAAAAAATCGTATAAAATAATTAAAAAATTTAAAAAATATAAATAAAATTAAAAATTTAAAAAAATATTTTAAATTTTAAATTAATAAAAATTTAAAAAATATTAATATTTTAAAATAAATATTAATATTTTAATATTTTTTAAAATTTTTTATTTTTTAAAAAAATTAATAAAAAATAGTAAAACTCCATTAAAAAAAAATGGGTGCCTTTCCCACCGCCTGTACTACCTCCTTGCACCACCACCTCCGGGTGGTGAAAAAAAATTCCATTTTTCCTAAAAATTGCCATTTTTTCTGAAAATACCAAAAACATGGCATATTTCTCTTTGTGAATGGCAACATTTTCATTTTTTTCTGCCATAAGTATGGTATTCGTAATGAACTTGGCATTTCCCCCCGGTGACTAGAGGTGGTGGTGCAGAGGCGGCAGAGACGACGATGAATTTTATCTTATTTTTTTGAGTTTTTAATTTTTCAAAAAAAAATTATATTTTTTTTATTTTTTTAAACATAAATGAATAAATAAATTATTATTATCGAATAAGTCATAAATTAACTAGGTTAGGATTAAATAAGTCATATTTTAGAATTAACTAGGTTAGGGATATTAAGGGAACAAAATTAACGTTTACTCCTATTGAAAGAAGTTTTAAGTTTGACTCCTATTTGTGCAATTATGTTTATGTTTACTCCTATATTGGGCAATTTCTAAAAAATATATCATCACATTTAATAACCCTCCTTTGATGGGTGAATAAAATTGATTCCTCCTAACCTCACCAATTGTAAACGAAAAACTAAAAATATTAAGGGCGCATTTACCTACAAGAAACGCGTTTACCTGTTTTTCTCCAAATTTTGAAAATAGAGATGTTTTTTTATTTTCTTCTTAATTTGGAGAACTTGCTTTTTGGTGTTTTTTCAAAATGGAAATATGTAAGGCTAGTGATTTACTTCCAACTTTCCCTTTTCGTCCGTTCCAAAAAGAACTTTATTCTCCCTTTTTGGCAAAGAATTTGTGGTTCACAGCATTTCTCTCTCATCTGCACAACTCTCCACCATACAATTCCTACTTTCTTAATCACCGTGCCACTTTAATTTGGAAGAACATTTAGGGACGGAGGGAGTATCTGTTTTGGGCTCGAAAATCCAGTCAGGATAACACGAATCGAGTCGAGACATTGCCAAGTTCAAGCTCTTAATATTACGCACTTAACTTTTTATTATTTGGCCTTTAATTAATTTGCAGTTTTCTTTCTTTTGATTCACAATTTTAATCCAACCCTGCCTGTAGAGAACAGGTCAGGATCCCGAGCGAGAAGCCATATTTATATCTAAAGGGAGAATCACAGAGAAGAACGGTCGTAATTTGGGACGAACATGACAGCATTCAGAAAGCCACCTTTTCTTGTGATGCTGAGAATATACTCGTCAAAAGCATCACTTTCATTGTAAGAAATTAAGAGTATTTTGTTTCAACTTTCAATTCCCCATTTTATTTTAAAATTGACTATTGCACCACAGTTTTTTAAAGGGAAAGTTCCGGAAATATGTGTGGAACGGTTTGAAAATTTTAAACTAGGAGTAATTACCGGCAAGTTTAGAAAATACTGTCATGTTTGAAGTCTGATACTGCCAAAACATGGCAGTAACTAGTCCTATTTTGAGAATAAAAATATGGTAGTCCTACTTTGAAATTACAAACTTTTTTAGTCCTATTTCAGGTAATATTCTCTTTTTTTAAACTATTTGAATTCATCCCAAAACCCCGCATGCTAATTCAAATATTTGTTGCAATTATTGGTTGCAAGGTCTACCATAAATTTCTCACATTTTGGGATTCAAGAGTGCAAATTCAAAGAATTTACCAAATTCAAGAATTTTGATGTAACGAATTTTGAGAACTCCAATTTCACAAAAATTGATTCCAATTTGACTTTCAAGAATACCCTTGATTGATATGAAACCAAATATGAGTAAGCTAAATTAGAAATTGCTCTGAATAGGAGCAAAAACGTTTTAAAATTTCAAAATAGGAGTATCATTTTTTTATTCCCTGAATAGGAGTAATCTGCCAAATTTGAAAAACAATGTCATGTTTTAAAGCCTAGTAGTGCCAAACTTGGCAGAAATTTACTCCTATTTAAGGGGAAAAAAACATGATACTCCTATTTTGTAATTTCAAAACTTTTTTACTCCCATTTAGTGAATTCTCTGAGGCTAAATACAGGGATGATAGTAATTTTCACTTATTATGAAAAATGATTCTCTCTAAATTATTGATTGATGGGGAATAGAATTCTTACAACTATCCGCCGGAAAACAACACGAACCCAAGAAGAGTGGCGGTGGCAGCAAAGTTATCCGGCGATAAAATGGCGTTTCACCGGTGCGGGTTCAGGGGAAGGCAGGATACGCTGTGGGACGAGCGTGGGCGTCACTACTTCAAAGGATGCTCCATTAGTGGAGCTGTAGATTTCATTTTTGGTAACGGCCAATCCATCTATGAGGTAATTCAATTCAATTTATTTATTTATTTTTAAATTGTTGTTCATTCGTAAATAATGAAAGGAAATAAATGTTTATAGAAAATGAAAGTGAAACTGGAACCCTTTTTTATTTGCTAATATATGCGGAGTAACTGTTATATCATTAGTACTTAATGATGTTATAATGCACAATTTTTTAGAAAAGGAACTAACTTGAAATCTTTTTTTAACTTAGCTTATATAGGAACTTAAAATCTTAATAATTAATTAGTCCTTATATAGAAGTATTACTTTTTTACTTGTCATTGTAGAGTTGTTCTATATCAGTGGAGAGAGGTGCTGAAGAAGGGATGATTGGGTACATCACAGCACAGGGGAGGCAGGACCCTGGAGAAAGCAGTGGGTTTGTATTTAAGAAATGTACTGTTCATGGATCTGGTGAAGCTTACTTGGGAAGGCCATGGAGAGACTATGCTAGAGTCATCTTTTTCCAAACTTACATGGATAACATGGTTGTCCCTCAGGGATGGACAACCAGTTCTGACACTTCATCCAAGTGAGTTACTCCCTCCGTCCCTGAAATATCTTCAAACTTTCCTTTTTCGTCCCAAAATTATCTCCTCTTTTCCTTTTTGGTAAATAATTTGTGGTTCACAATCATTCTTACACATTTCTCTCTCCTCTGCACAACTCTCCACCACACAAAACCTACTATCTTAATTAGTGTGTCCGGCCGAAATGGGAGAAAAAACAGGGACAGAGGGAGTATAAACCAACTCTGTATAAATGTATACTCTTAGCTTTTAATAATCACTTTCTCCTCCCAATAAAACGCCATAAAAAAGAATTGTCATTTCTATTCAGAGTAATAGATACTATAGTGTGTGATTAAAGTTATTTTTCTTTCTTGTTCACAGATCACCACATATTTTTTACTGTACTATTTCATGTCTAATTTAAACTCAGCAAATTTTGTGGGATGAAGAGAGTATAATATACATGAATTATAATTTATTACGGAGTATTAGAAACTTAATTCAATTCTTGAAATTGATCACAGGAATAAGACTTATACTCCATATGTCTCATTTTGTAAGTGCTATTGATTATTATGGCTTACTCCAGCAGCATCTTCATTTTTACATTATTCTTTAATACTATCAAAGTAATTAACTAATCAACAATCGTGTCCTTCTTTAATACTATCAAAGTAATTAACTATCAAAGAACTTTTAAGCTTAGTTTTATATGTATACACTACTACGGAGTATGTTTTGTTTTCGAATTAAGTTATATATTACAATCTTGAATATTTCTGATAATTATTTAATGGTCGTATGGTCACTTAAAAAAATTCTATTTTTTTTGGCTTGAAATCTAACTAATTGAGAACTCGTATATGCTATTACTGGCATATGTACATTAGGTACTCTAAAATTATGTTTGAAATAGTGGTGGATTGAAAATTCAGGAAATCATAAAGATACAAACTCAAATGTAAATTCTTAGACAATGAGCATGGAAACTTCAACATTGATTTATTCCAATAAGTCACCATGTTTGGAGGCATGTAAGCATGCTAAGACATCTTACATCCATCAAATATAAAATTACAAAGTCACCATTTTAGCTAACTTTTTAAAGCTTGTAAGATGTTAGCATGGGACTCGAACATCCGTCAATTGGTACATACTCCTTCCATCCCAAAAAACTGTCACTTTCTTTTCAAAACAATAAATTTGTGCTTCTGTTCATTTCTCTTTCCTCTACACTACCTCAGCCACACAGTTTTACTATTCTAATTTCACGTCCAACATCAACTTAGCAAAGTTGAGTGGAATGGAGTTAGTACAATATATCATTAGGGAACCAACTAAACTATTTGTGATGGTTTCAAAAAAGGTGAAATCTCTGGCCCATTAATGGATCTACCATAACTCTACTCTGACCTAATAGAATTGTGGAGAGGTAATTTGTTGTGACTGTAGCACCCCTATCAATCTATCATCAAAAGACAAAACCCCTCACACTCCCAAGCCCCCAAAGAATCCCACAATATAATGCATCACTAGGACATGGACTATGTTCATTAGTGCAATCTATCTTCAAGGAACCAACTAAATTGTCCTTGCAGATTCAAAAAAGGCATAAGAACTTTCATTTGGGTTGACCATTTTGTATTACCATTGATCCATCATAAAAGTGAACTTAAATAATTAGCTTATTGTTGTGGTTGACTTCTTTGTCTTATTATTGGGATTGTTGCCATGCATGCAGTTTGGATAAGTTGACATTTGCAGAGCAGGAGTGTAGTGGACCAGGGGCAAAAAGGTCAGGGCGAGTCAAGTGGGTAGCAGAACTGAGCGAGGATGACTTGGAAAAATTTACAAGTCTCTCTTACATTAATGAAGATGGCTGGCTTAGTGGCCTTCCCCAAAATAAGCTGTTTGTTTAAAATTACCAGTATATACCATCATAATCCTCCATGCATGGCAGTACTATATATATCATATAAATGGCAGTAACATAAAAAATTCAAGATTTTATACGACAGAAAATTTCGTGCAAAATTCTTTTCAATATATATTATTAGGGAAATTTGCAATTTTCATCCCGTAATTTTCAGACGTTTTCATTATTGGTCATGTAACTTTAGTTACTTGCAAATTTGGTCCTGTAACTAATTAATATTTGCAATTTAAGGACTTTTCCCCGGAAAAGTACACTTTCCGCGATAGTATACCGGAAAAGATGTCGCATGCGTCGGATTTTTCTGCCGGAAAGTGTACTTTTCGGTGGAAAAGTCCTTGAATAGCAAAGATTTATTAGTTACAGGACCAAATTTGCAAGTGGTTAAAGTTATAGGATTAATAATGATAACAGCGCGCTAAAAGTTACAAGACTAATATTGCAAATATCCCTATATTATTACCATATTTTCACATGGTTTATGTATGTTTTTGGTCTCTGCACATGGCATTTCTAGTTTCACAACTTGTCATGTATGTAAAATATTTTCTTTTTAGTGCCACTATAGTTCTGGGCAATCTTTATTAACGAAAAAATTATTATCTGCTGCGTAACTGAACTCTAGTCAAAACTGTGAACTTCATCAATTTTTTACTTCTTATAAACCAAATTCAATTTAAAACAGTACTCCATCCGTCCCAATTTGATAGTCTCATTTCTTTTAGGCACAAGTTTTAATAAAGTGGTTGAAAAGGTAAAAGTTGTTGTTGAGATTTGAGTATAATAATGTAAAATGATATAGACCACATGTTTCTTTCTAAAAAGGGAAACATGACCATCATTTTGAGACATCCCAAAAAGGAAATACAGGATTATCATTTTGGGACGGAGGGAGTATTAAATTTAAAATTTGATACTAATCATTCATCTTTGTAAAATAATGGGATGGTTTTCACATGGTTTTCGTATGTTTTTATCTCTACAAATATAGCACTTCTCAATTCACAACTTGTTATGTATGTAAAATATTTTCTTTTTAGTCCTTTAAGCGTGGGCCAATCTTTATTAATAAAAAAAGTTATTGTGTGACTGTAATCAAAACTGTCAACTTTCCCTCCGTCCCGAATTGAATTGCAAATTTTGACCGGCACAAGTATTAAGAAACGACAATAAATGATGCTCGTTTTATACACTTTTGTCCATCTTTCTAAAATTAGATGTTTTTAGGTTAATGAGGAAAAAGTAAAAGTAAGGGTAAATTTGTCACTTTATTCTTAATTACATACCTAAAATAGAAAGTGGAAAACTATTTTGGAACAACCGAAAAAGAAAATTTTGCAAATCAAATTGGGACAGAGGGAGTATTAAATAACAAAAGGGGAAAGATGTGAATACACCTCCGAAGAATATGAGCAAATGCATTTATACTCGTGAACTTCTAAAACATATAAAAATATCTCATGTTTCTATAAAGGAGCAAATTACCCTTACTGATTTTAAATAAATAAAATAAATTTTCAAAAAACATTAAAAACAAATTATAAATTTAACATTCGAAACTGAGAAAAAAAATAAAAATTACTTGTATTCAATTCCCACTTTTATTACTTTTACATAATTTTTATATTGTTAGTATAAAAATTGTTTCAAACTTTACTATACAATTTTTTATTCTTTCAGAAAAGTATTAACATATTTGTTCATTGTGTTGTAATGTAAAAAATCATTAGTTTTTTTTTGTATTGTTTGTACTAAAATATTACATACGTAGTATTTTATACTACGTATGATAATAACTAAGCTAGTCTAAGATTATAAAATAGTTAATTTAATTTTATTAAATTTAAATTGAAACAAACGATGCTAATCATATATTCATCTTTACAAAATAAGTTTGAGAGAATTCCAAAAGTTTTGAAATTCCAAAATAGGAGTATCGTGTTTTTTATTCCTTGAATAGGAGTAAATTTCTGCCAAATTTGGCATTACTAGGCTTTAAAACATGACATTTTTTCAAAATTGGCAGCTTACTCCTATTCAGGGAATAAAAAACATGATATTCCTATTTTGGAATTTCAAAACGTTTTTGCTCCTATTTAGAGCAATTTTTAAATAAGTTTTAACTATTTTGGGTTTAGGAATAGTCAGGACTTTTGGTCTCGTTTTTTATAGTAGCAAAATAAAATTTAGTGCACAAAAATTAAGATTTCTTTGACTTTTTCTTCAAAAAATCAATGGACCAAACAAAAAAGTTTTTCTTAAATGTTGTGAATACCTATGTGGCACACATACTTGACTAGGGTACCGTATCAATGTATCTGAAACCTCCTTGTATTGAATACTCTAGGATACACGTATTTTACGTTCTTGGGATGTACGTGCAATTTATTATTCTAGGATAACTCTTTTATTTACAGAAAAATCCAAAACAGAAATCTCCCTCAGTCCCATTTTAAGGTCGTTCCTACCTTCTTTTTTTCGACGTCCTATATAAAGGTTCTCATTTCTATTTTAGAAAATAATTAACACTCTTAAATAATTTTTTCATTAATTATTACAAATAATATATCTATAACATTACAATTATCATCAATGACTTCATTATCTTATATACCCATCAAAATTATCTAACAAACCATACTCGAATACATTATTTAATTATTGTCTGAATAACTGTGCCATTTTGTAAAAGGAATCTTTCACCGGGACGGAGGGAGAAATAGAAGTCCTTAAAATATTTATTAGAACTTTTAATTTTTTTATTAGAGTATTGTTTTCTATTTTCATTGAGAATCTCTTATACAAAAATTACGAGTACGTGAACTTTTAATTTCTAAACTGTGATTATTTGATTTGTTTCTCATTTCAAATTAGTGACTTATTGATTATTATATTTATATTTAGAGATGCATTAGAATATATGAGACAAAGTGTGTATTTATTTCTAACCATTTTGATAATTTGAAATGTTTTAATGTCATGAATAGGCAGAGCGTAATATATGTAAACATTTTTGGAAAAGAATCTTGTAGTTTTTAATATCAATAAATACACCCTCATAACTTTTAATATTTATAAATGTACCCCATATTTGTATCCTTCTTTTTTTTAAGTTTTGTCGTATCTTTGTACATGTTTGTGCGTTTCCACGTTTCCACGTTCCTGTATATGTGTTACATAGGTGGATACTGGATACTATCATTGGGGGTAGGGTTGCGGAAAAATATCGAAATTTACCATATCGAAAAAATTTAGGCATACCGACATTTTCAGTATGATATGGTACCTTACCGAATTACTTCGGTATTGTATCTATATATGTTTTGGAAATAAAAGATATACAAATATATACTGTTGTACCGAAAGTCATATTCAAATATTTTTTAAAATTATAAAAATGATCAAGTACACAACATCATACCAGAGATATATGATTTTATATCCACGTTGTTTTGAATAATTTTAGTTTTTGTTGGAGATTACTATTGATTTAATTATATCCATATTGTTAATGTTATTTTTGGAGAACGTTTTATTTTTTAATATGTGGCATGTTGCACTGCTTAAATATACTAATAATCATTATTTTTCAATATTGAATATGGCAACAATAGAATAGTATTTTTATTTTGTAACATTTTAATAATTGATTAAGTATGTCGTTAGAAACACTAGTTTTGTATATTTTGTTAGTCTATAATAATTTGTTGTATTGAGAGACATGAATGATAATTTACTGATGTTGTCCCATTACTGAACCGAAACTTCAGTAATACCGAAATACGGTATACCAAAATTTTGGTAAGGTAAAGACATATAAATTTTATATATCGAAAGTTTTGGTACAACAAAGATATGAAAGAAAATATTCAGTATACTGTACCTAACCTTCCCTACCCCTAATTGGGGAAGGAATACCGAAATACCCGAATTCAATCTTTACCCGTTGACAGCTCTTTGCCGCATCGGCTCTTTATTTTGTCAGAATTCTTCTCTGTATCGTTCCAATTTTATCGGATGTTTCCGAAGAGACATTTTGTCGGAATTCTTATTACTCCTTTTCTTGTGTATTGAAGTTGTCATCCTTTTCATTTGGTAATTAAACAAAATGAAACGCAAAATGGTCATATTGTTGTAGTTAATTAAGATGCCAAATATATGTGAAGAGTTTCATCCATGATCCCAACAATCGTGGCGGAGCCAGAAAAACGTGAAAAGGAGTTGAAATCTAATTATATTAAGTATTAAAAGGGCGGATCGTTATTAAACAATAATTGAGTTAAATGTATCATTTTTTTTTGTTTTTTGTTTTGAGTTAAATGTTTCATATATAACTAAGATAGCTGGTAGTTTAATGAGACCTTTTCAGTTGATGTATTGATATATACTCTGTATGTAATGTATCATAAAGTTCACACAACGTACTAATGAGTGAATAAATTTTTTTATTTTTAAATTAAAAATATAATCAATACCACGCATCAAATTTTGCTTATTTCAAGTCATAACTTTTTACTCGTAGTGAGTTATAGACTCAAAATATATCAAATAGAAGGTATTTCAAAGTTCTACGTTCTTGAATTTTTTTTGGGGGGGGGGGGGGGTGACCACCCTGACCCCCTGGCTCTGCCCTTGCCCAACAAGTTTTTTTCTTCATATCAACGAAAAGTGAAATGTAGAAAAACATCATACTCTCTGCGTTCCTTAATTTTTTTCTCACTTACTATTTGGGATGTTCGAACAAAATCTTCTCATTTTTCTTTTTGGAAAGATTTGCATTGTGTCATTCGTTTACATTTTTACTAATCAACAACAAGTCGGCAATAATAATGTATTTTCAGTTTATTCTCACTTTTTTAAACTCTGATCCAAATCAAACCGAGAACTCTGTAGGACAAAGGAAGTATGTAATAAGTAAGAACTTATAGGATTGGTGAGTTTTAGATCAATTTAGGAGTACTAAAGTGTATACAATAAATAAAAAATGTATAGGAATAAAGAAGAGAAAATTCCTAAAATAGGAGTAAAGTTGAAACATTTGGAAATACCAAACTAAGAGCATTATATTTTTATTCCTTAAATAGGAGTACATTATTGTCATTATTAAAATGTACTGTCATGTTTTGACATTATCAAACTTTAAATATGCCAATATATATACTATTATAAATGGCAATAATACTTCATATATACTATCATAAGTGACAATAATATATACTGTCATAAGTGACAATATTTTGCATAATTAACAACAATTACTCTTATTTGGAAAATAAAAACATACTACCTCCGTCCCGTTATGATTGTCCCATTTTATCTTATCGGTCCGTCTCACTAAGATTGTTCCATACCAAATTTGGTAAAGTATGTGTGACTCTAAATCATTCTTAATTTTTTCTTATTTTATCAACTTAATATCAATCACATAAACCATTTTTTATTAATTTGTGTGACACTCCATCTTGTCCCATTGTTAACGGGACGGAGGGAGTAATACTCAAATTTTGGAATTCTCACATATATTTTTGCTCATATTAAGAGAAATTTCCTAATACGAAATTGTTAACATATTGAATACCCGAGAGAACAACAAATGTATGTCATTCTTAGAGCATCTCCAATGCTAAAACGTTAACGGTGCATGCGTGACATGAGAAATAACCAATGAAAAAACAATAAATAAAATATCTCTATCCTTATTTGAAGGATCTTATAAAACGATTGTTGCCCACGTACTAACCAAAAAAAAAGGCAAATAAGCCCTTATATAGGAGGCTATGTCCGGACGTCGTCGTTTGGGGCTGTTCCAGGTGGAAATTTTTTATGCAATTTTTTGAGCATATTATTGATTAAGTCTAATTTACTTATACCAAATTTCAGCTAAAACTTCAATCGGAAAGTTATTCAAATGAATTCTTGAAGATAACTGCGCAGCTAAAAGCACAATTATCTTCAAGAATTTATTTGAATGCCTTCCCAATTGAATTGTTAACTGAAATTTGGTATGAATTAGGGGTGGACTCGGGCCGGGCCAACCGGCCCGGAACCGAACCGGCCCACTACTGTGCGGGCCTGGCCCGGCCCGGTGAACCGGTTCGGAGCCCGGTTCGGGCCAACCGGCCCGGTGGGATGGCGGTTCAGGCTCGGGCCTTTCAAAAGGTGAACCGGACCGGCCGGTTCGGGCCCGGGCCGGGCCAATTTTTTTTTTTTTGAATTTTTTTTAAGTTTTTGGGTTTGGTTGAGTATTTTGGACCATTTGAGGTGGTTAGGGTTGGTTTGGGGTGAGGGGGAGGGTTGGGGTTTAACTAGGAAAAGCCAAAAAAAAAATAGAATCGAGGCCCGACCCGGCCCGAACCCGAGGGTTACCCGGGTCGGTTCCGGGCCTCCCCTTTTTGAACCGAGGCCCGGCCGGGCCCAAGCACGAACCGGGCCCAAACCGGTCCATGCCTAGTATGAATAAACTAGACTTAATGAATAAGATTATCAAAAAATTTCATCAAAAAATTCAACCAAGAACTGCCCCAAATGGCAACGGCCGAACAAAGTCTCTTATATAAGGACTTATTTGACCTTTTTGGTTAATACGTGGCTTATTTGCCCATTTTCCCTTCATGCAATATTGCACTTCACCAAGGCCACAATACTTCTTTGAGTTCTTTCTCCACCTCCCTCACCCTCAAAGGCTCAAACTATCAAAGTAGCAAATGTACCAAAACATCTCAAACACAATTACTTTCCAAGAGGCACTAACAGCTTTTTTTGTTGTGAGGCGCACAAAATAGGTCAAACTCATCCTCTCCTCGTAAAAATATTACAACAATAGAGATTAAAGTTTCAGAAAGAAAAAACTACAGAACACGTTGACTATTATATTCTTCAAACCTTTACTTTTTTTTCTTTTTGGATGTTTTTAAGCTTTCATCACCCTGCTGCGGTTTTTTCTCCTTTTCATCTCTCCTGACTCTTTTCTTCTCATTTTTGTCGCTAGATTGAGATGGCACATTATGCTCACTTTCCCTTATAAGAGAACCATTAGTCCCATCCTTGACCTTTTCAGTTCTTTGTTTTTTACTTTTCACTTTCGAAAAATCATCACCCACTGAATACTTGTCCAATCCTCTCTCTCCAGATGATTGCTTCTTGGCTGACTTCGTTTTAACCTTTGAACCCTGATGAGCCAAAAACGGGACACTAGATGTTCGGGAAGAAGCTAAACTAGTCTCGATGTCTTTCTTCATTTCGTTTAACTTTTCAGGCTGTGACTTATGACGAGTGTCAGCAAGAAAACTATCTTTTCTCGTTTTAGTATCAGTGGTTCCAAATTCAGCATAAAATTCCTGTCTGATGGATTGATTTGAGGCTTGTCTTTTTTTCCATAAATCTGGTTGTTTTGCATATCTATGATCACAACAAACACGTGTAAGCAGAGAAAACCAATGAATATGAAATCTAATGCTTACATAGATTGAAATAAAGTTCTTCCATGAATTTGTTCTGAACTCTGCAAAAAAATACTTCGTACATATAGAAATAGATCTGACAGCCTGCACTGTATGTGATCATTTTCAGTCGGTTCCTGATCATCCCTCTCTCTCTCTCTCTGTGTGTGATGAAAAACAAATGCTAGTCCATTTTATTTTTCCTTTACAAGATGTGGCCTAGGGCTGGGATTTTAGAGCCATAGAACCAATTAGAACTGCTCTATGAATTATAAGTTCCTTACGGTTCAGTTCCTAGTCTTTGTTAACGGTTTAATTCCCAATTCCTGCTAAAAGTATGTTAGCGGAACCATTAAGGAAACGCTATTTTATATTTATAATTATATTTACAAAATTACAGTTATAGTTATTACATAATTTTATATTATATGTGTGTACTTAAGCATGTATGCATGTCTTGTAATTAAATACAGCTAGATGTACATCCCAATATATCTTTTGCCAATAATTGTTTACATGACATTCTTTTGCCTGTTATTTTTTTATATGTTAATTTATTGATATTCTTTTTACCAACTACTCCCTCCGTCCCCTTTTAAATGTCCCATTTTACCATATTCGGATGTCCCTATTTAATTGTCCCATACCTTATTTGGTAAAGTTTGTGTGGCTCAAAATCATTCTTACTTTATTCTTACTTTATTCTTACTTTATCTATTAATATCAACCACACAAACCTACTTTTCTTAAAACTCGAGCCACCCTCTTCCGGGACATTTAAAAGGGGACGGAGGGAGTATTTGTTAGCTTCATATTATAAGGAGTACTTTTCTATAATAATGATTAACCGATAACACACAAGAAACAAACCGATATTATATTAACGGTTCTTGAAAAAAATGGTAGAACCAAACCAATATAGAATAACGGTTATTCGAATGGTTCCAAATTCTTTTCAAAGAACCATACTGATCCCACCCTTGGTGTGGCCAATAGAAACTAAAAAGCCGCTTATTTATACAATTTATACTCACACCTTCATGTGAGATTGAATTTTATTTGTATAATAATTGCTAATAATTTACTAGATTCTGAAATTCTGATGAATGGTCAAAATTTGAGGGGAGTGGAACTTACCCATCAATATCAAACCTCCTAAGCAGGAAAGGTCCCTGTTTTGTTCGTGACAACTCAGCTCGCAATGGTAACATCTCTGAAACAATGGTCTCCCTCAGGGATAAGTTGCTTGTATTGAAGCACTTCTCAATCATAAATGATCCTGATGGATGCACTGAGAGCTCACCAAAATGACCTTGCAGCCTAAAGTGTTAACATAAGTTTCATGGTAAATATGTGGTAAAGAGAATATAATTCAGCCTGAAACAAGTAAATAGCCGAATAAATAAACAAGGGGTAACTCCAAATACGTACTTGATCACTAGCTTCCTCTTCAGTTTTGCAGAAACATTTGAATTTAAAAATGCTTCAATAACGCGTGAACCACTGGGATCTTTAGATACTGCAAGAAGTTGATGTTCTTCCAAGGATGTGATACTAGAAACAAAAGCTTTAACAAATTCCTAGAGGAGACAAAATCTGAATAATTAAGATTATCATATTCAAACTGAAGTGCATTTAGTCACTGAAAGTAAAGCAGCAGGTCACATCTAATAGAAATTTTCATGTTTTACTACCACAACTGTTGAGTCATTGGCATATTTGATTCCTAACCTTTATTTTGGCAACATTTAGTTCCACAAAGTTATTAACATTACCACATTTGATCCTCAAATAATTTATTCGTCCAAAAAAATCTCAACTCATGAGTACATTAAGTGAATTCGGATCCATCCAATGAAGTAAATGAAAGCTTTGAGATTCCATTCGGGCAATATCAAGTCAACAATAGAAGAGTATTTTGCAATTACTGGATTTCTCCTGGGTTAAGGTTTATTAGATGAAAAGAGAAAAAGAAACTATTTATGTCAATACAAGCAAATTCATTAAACAAAAGGTGGTCAGACTAAAAGTTAGGGACTATGCTGCAGCACCCAAATAGTTATGGAACTAAGAGTAACTTAGTCAGAAGTTAATTTTGCATTATAAAACCAAGACTAAAAAGTGACGTTAAAATGCAACAGAGTTATAAAAAGTTGGGCAAGCTAGGAATAAATGAGGTGTTTCAATAAAATAAATAAGCCTGATTTTATTTTTTTTCTTTTCTGTCTTCTCTGAACATGATGTGATCTCATATAGAGGTCAATCATCATCAAATACGTCACAATATGCTGTACTCCGTATATTTTAAGCGTAACAGTAAGGCAATAACCCACCCCTTTCCCCCACTATAGACCAATAAAAACACTGAAACCCATGAAAACCAATAAAAAAAGAGTTAACACATACACTGTGAAACCTAAAAATTGACTGCAGGATCAAAGAACCGACAACATGTATCCTGGAATGGCTTGGCCAACTCCAGTTAAGCCTGTCTTCAGAATTAAAAAAGCTGTCAAGGAACAGTATGCGTGGAATAATGCACTTGAGAGATTCATCCCCTACACAAACAGCAGAAGCAAGTGCCTGACAACACTGCACCAAGAATAAGGGATAAGTTTGAGACACTAAGTCTATTTTTGCTTAAGCTAGTCAGTAGAAGCGAAAACATATTATCACAAATCCAAACCTCTGCTTCACGGTGATGGAGCTTTTGCGTTGCAGCAACAAGAGAAGCAATAACTCCAGACCGGCTCATTTCAAATAGCTCCTTAAATTTAGTTCCAAGCTCACCCCAGATCACGTCAATCTAATTGCATATATGGGAGGAGATTAAAAGGAGTCAGCATGAGCAACCAATTGCGAGATTGATCTTTAAAATCAGTAATAATTTGTGTCCTACTGCACCGTAAAATGAGCCACATGTGTGAGGTCTATGCAACAAAATGTTATAGGAAGTTCAAATATGTAGTGCAGAGAAAGAAGGTGTGGAATCTACATTCTTTTGCAGCGTTGTCCATAAAAAGATAAATGTTTTCAAGGCAAACATAAATCACGAGATTTACATGTTCTGAGCTTTTCGCCTGCGAAGCTAAAGCCTGAACAACAAAGTTCCCACAATGATGCGATGACATCTGAAACAATGAGGTCTTGAAAACTCTCTGTAATAACTCATTGTATACAGTATCAGGAGAAACTTCGAGTATGACCTGTACAATATAAATACAAAATTAAACTCCAACAAACTATACCAATCCAGTGAAACTGATAGTAACCACCCTTAACTGTGTTGTGAAAGTCAAAGACCTCATAATCTCATATAAGTATCGATGCAGTTGCATGTCAAGGTTGTAGAATGAGAAAGATGAGTCCTAAAGATCTCTAGGACCAGAAAAATGAAGAACAGTACAAAATTTGTTCTAAAAACTTATAGACAAATTAAATAACATAGGGCCCACAAGCTTATTATACCTCAATTAAATGACTGTAAGCAGGTTCTTCTATATGCTCTGAAATTTCTTGTAATCTTGAGCTTCCTTTTAATTTCCCATCCATGTCCATGTCGAAACCAAGAATAATTTGAACAACTTTCAACAATAGCTCCGGTTCATTTCCAACCAATAATTTCAAAGCTGTCTACCGTTTGATTGGTAGGATGTGTGAATGTGTCAATAAGTACAATGAGTGCCAAAACACAAAGAAATAATTAATTAACTAATTACTCAAAAGTATCTTGACTCAAATTAAACACCAGGAAAATGTTAAAAGCGTCAATCTAAAACATACCTGCAGGACCAAACTGCAATATTGATCCAAGGAAAGATTAGAGATGTTTTCTCTTGTGGCATTTAACATTTCTAACATGAGGTAGTTGAGCAAATCTGGAAATCTTTGGCTAGAATATGACATGTTATTGTATTCTGATCGAGGAACCTTAAAGTTCATCCGTTCTGCCAGTACAGTTGCAGACTTCGTGATATGGAATTGGTCTAAGGGAACCCCATTCAATAAACAAAGAAGACTCCGAAGCACATGCGATCCATAGCAGTCGCACATTACATCAACAGGGTTGAGTATAATTGCCTAATTAAAAAATGATTGTGAAAATAAGTATTAATATTTTACAATGACTTTTACCAATTGCTAACAAAATAACTGTACCAAAAACTTTCTAGTTCACACCTCACATAATTTTCTCAAGGTCTCATTGATAAAAGACAGCTGCTCACTGTCCTGAAGGTGCACAGCCATAGATTTCAAAGCTGTTTCAACAACATGAGACCCAGATTTGTCTGTTGCAATATAAGAGAACTTCTTTGCGCAGCTCTGAAGAAAATCACAAAGATGATCTACAGAACAGCCCTCCAGAAGAATTTGCAGAGTATGGCTTATTACATAATCAGTTGCAAGTTCTGCTTCTTTTCCTCTTGTTTCTTCTAATGCATTGCCACATATAACAGACCGCTCTTCTAAGTCAATCTCTGTACCTTCTATGACATTTGCAATCTCTGCGAAGTACTTCACAGTTTCTGGATCAATTGGATTCCTAAAGGAAAATTTTAGTAAATCAGTGTGCTAATTTCTGTACAACCAAATCAGTAGAAGTTTTGAATTTGCAAGAAAATAAATAATAAAATCTACGATGCACAGAAACTCTTGTATGCTTGCATTTCGGTAACCCTTCAGAGTTCAGACAATTGTTTTGCTATTAAAAGATAATGTTTCCCATTTCAGTGATTTCACTTTTCCCACCATACGTGTGGCATATGGAGACAGTCATGGAGCCAAAGCATTTGTCCATGGCGATGGCAATGGCGCATTTATGGCTGTCGCCACATGACACAAAAAATATATATTAAATATATGACCTATGGACACTATAAATCTATTATTCAACCACCAAAAGATGAGCAAAAAGGTAGAATACCCACATTCTAATGAAAATATGTGAGCTTTAAAGCACTTTCAAATATAACTTAATGCCCAAAAAGAGTTCCACGTCTTCCAAAATATGTCAACTATTCTGTGTTTAATTATTATGGTAAAATCATCACCAATTATCACACTCATCATCATTTGGATCTAAATTTCATAACAATGAAACATCATCCTTATTAATTTCACACTCAGAAGGATCTTCAATCTCATCCGTCTTATCTTCATGTTGCAGCTGATGTGTTGTTGCTGCCCTTTAGTCATTCTCTTCTTGTGCAGCTTCCTAACTGTCTTTACGTTAGTTGTGCAGTTTTTCTGGGTTTACGTAAGCTGGTGTCATTATGTACTTCTTATTTAGGTTTTTATTAATATTTTGGCTGACTGGTTAGTTACACAAGTATAAGGGCCACAGCCCAAAAGTAACTAAGTAAACCTGTTAAAATCTGTTTAAAAATAGGGTGCACATGGTGTGACGATGGCTATGGCGCCAACGTGGCCCCACTATGTATAGAGTTATCGCTAGAAGGGATTTTTGTGGCAAGGAGGATTTGTATCGCCATATAGTACGTGCCGTATTGCGCCATTGACAACTATGTTTCCCACATTTCCCTTGTTCCCATGCAACATAAATTAGAATCATTAAATGTTGTAGAACCTGATAAATGGTGCACATGAAGTCTCACTCTGGTGCTTAGAGGGTTTTCTTGCTTTAACATTACCATCAGCCACTTTTCCGTCTGATAGACATTTAGCTGAACTTCCAGCAGAAAATCCAGCATGCTTCTTCCCATCCCTTCTAGCCATATTTCTTTTATGTTTGCATTGATTAGAAAATATTCCTTCCTGATACGTCAAGTTTTCCTGAATTAGATTGTGTGCTTTGTTCCTTAACAGCAAAGCTCTCTTACCCACAGAAACCATGTATCTTTAAAACGCACAACCTGAAATTGTGAGGTCAATATTCAGTAACCATAACTCACCAAAGTCTTAAAAATCTTTATATGCAAAAGAACTATTGAAAGGTCTTTTTAAGCAGCAAACCCATAAGAGAGGATTGTAAGAAAAAAGTCATTGCAGGCTTGCAGTATCAAAAGTCAATGAGACATTGAATAACAGTTAACTTCCACATTTCCATAACTCTACAGTTCTCCCAACATTTGAACAGTTCACAGTTCTAAAATCACAGTCCTGAAAGAAGCTAGAAATCCCCCAATCCCTACCGGAGTAACGAATAACAAATTACTACCAATGTCAGAAAATAATACTACGTAAAATGTTTAACAAATAAAACACAATAACACGATCGCTCCAGGACCTCTGTGTTAATCAAGTATTCAAATAGATTAACAATGTTTCACAAAATAATACAATGCTTAACAAAAAATACAATGTTTAATCAAGAGAAAAGGTATACCTGGAGCTGGAGGCAGAGCCGTAGAGGGCAGAATCAGACTCGGTCACTCGGAGAGGGAAGACGGCGGGCGGCGGCGCAGCTGGCGGAGGCAGGTCGGCTGGTGTTCGTGTCTTCGACCTTGGTGCTTCCAAACTCCCGTCGGTTCGCAGGAGGCCGCAGGTTTGCCCGAGTGGAATAGTATGTTACTAGCTTCGGCTTGAATTAATTTTGGTTGGGGTGGACATTTGAGCTATAGCTATACAAATTAAAAGAAATTGGGCTGAGTTGGAGTCCACTCCTGCCCTCGCAATGATCCGCTGGATTCGATAAGCTCGACTCGTTAGGTCTGAAATCGAGCTCGAATTCAAATAGTTCGATAAAACCTCGATTCCTTAACAACCTTGAAAAGTTAGCATACTTACACATATTATATAAATAAAATATTGGGCCTAAATGTTTTTCATTTTTTAGGCTTGTGTCCCAACCCCTCCTGCCCCCTTGCCACCCCTGAACTTAACTTTGAATCATTGCAATGACTTGGAATGGAACTTCACCTTCTTCCATCATAGTGAGATCAAAGCTCAATTTACAGTCTCCCAGATAACGGTCATGTCAATTCTGGGGCTCCCAGGGATGGGGTGTTATTTTTTTAAGGAATTTTATTAATTCGGGACCTGAAAGATAGTCGGGCTATCAATCCGGGACCTGAAAGATGAAATGTATCAGTATAGGACTCGAAAGATGAAGAACTATCAATCTAGGACCTAACATTTCATAGGGTTTGATTTGTTTAATTTTTTATTAAGTCCATCGCTAATATTTGGTGAAATTTTCTTCACAAAAGTTTATTAGTTTAATAAAACTAAATATTATTTAAATTTTTTAAAATAAAAAAAAATAACAAAATTTATGAAAACTTAGGATGTTTTTACTTGGACTGTAATTTGCTGGTCTGATCTGGTCTGAACTGGTTTGGTTTGGTCTGGTCTGGTCTGGTTTCTTTGTATTTTTATAACTATCCAAGTCTGGTCTGAACTGGTCTGATCTGGTCTGGTCTCGGACGAATTAGAGTCCAAGTAAAAACATCCTTAGGTCCTAAATTGATAGTTTTCAATCATTCGGGTCCTAGATTGATATTTTTCCATCATTCGGGTCCTATACTGATGCATTTCATCTTTCAGGTCCCGAATTGATAATCCGTCTATCTTTGAGGTCCCAGATTGATAAAATTCCTTTTTTTAATCATTGCACATAAATTAATTAGTAAACCGATAAAAATTTAAAGTCTTCTTAAATCAAAGTCTTAATAAACCCAACAAGCCAAAGCAACAGATGAGTATAGAAGGGTGAGATAGCACAAAGGCAATGTTTCAAAGGTGGCCTCTAGAGCTATGGACTAGGAATCTTAATGGAGATTTGAATCGACTACAAGTTGAAGAAGGATAGCAGAGAAAAGGCGAGGTCGGTAGAATGTAGACAATACACAAAACACCTCTAATTTCATTTGAAACTTTATGATTAAATAAATAGCAATTGTCCTAAATAGGACAATAAACGGAAAGTGTGTATACATAAAAATCTTGTTTAAAATAAAAAATGTAAATAATGAATGAATATATGTAGTATGAATCTAGGGTCGAGGATAATTAGCGATTATTATAAAATACATTACAACAATAACAGTTCTCTTGTGTCTACTATCTAAGAATTTATGACTCCCTCCACATCATCCATAGGAAGTATTCACCTGATTTTTAGTCGATTATTATTCAATATAATAAGGTTGCTTGTTAATCCAATGATCATTATCGATGAAGTCAATGTTGGTGAAGTAATTAACCACTTCTGGACTCAATTGTGATTCCCATGAGACTCTCTTTGAAGTATCTGACCCTGGCCCATAGCACTTCACCTCTGCAAATGTTAATCGTTTCCTAGATAATCATAATCATGTGGCTTATTAGTCTTGTGTGAGCACAAATATATGAAATTATATTAATATTGAGGAGGCTTTGTGCTTAAAAAAGAAGCCCGTCCAAACAACATGAATGTTAAGCACATATTTTGTCATATGTGTGTTTCAAATATTACCATGCTAATTTTCAAAAAACAAAGCTCAAAAATAATTTTACAAATAACATAGAATAGCTTTACTCTCTATATCCCTAGCTTAACATTGTCATCTTTGATTTTTTTGTCAACCAAATTAAATTTTGACCAATGATGTATCTGTATAGGAAATTATACTAATCAAATTCGTTGCCCAAAGTTCATTACTCATTTACTCGAAAAGTAAAAAAATGACAAAGTTTTAAGGGACAAAGATAGTATGTGTTGATATTGTCAAAGTTTTAGCACTTATGAAGCATGAGACTCACTTTTTAACACTTTCAAAATGCCCTAAGTTTATCATCATGCATGTTTGTGAGTGTGTGAACTGAAGTGAACACTTCTTTTCATGTTATAATATTAGCTTACTCGTAACCTCTGTTGTACCACGCATCCCATCCTTGAGGAACAATGATGTTGGAGAGGGATGAATTAAAGAAAATGGTTCTAGCATAACTTCTCCATGCCCTTCCTAAGTAAGCCATCCCATTCCCAATCACATTGCAGTTCTTGAAAACAAATGCATTGCTATCATAGGCACCCGACCTTCCTTGTGCGGTTATGTAGCCTGTAGTACGTTCCCCAAATGACCCAGCATTCACCACTATTTTACACTCCTAAAAATATCAAATCGAACAAACAACCATAATAACATCCAAGCTTTGTTCATGAAATTTTTAGGAGCGGCATACATAAATTGATATATGTGTGTGTAACGCAACATACAAATATCAACCACACTCATCATATCACCATTTAACATTTTACGACAAACAATAATGAAGATATATTAAACTTTGACAATAAATAAGTAGTGTGTTCTACTGTGTTATAGATGGTCATGCTTAGTTCACTTACAATGTTTTAATAATAATATATAGTAATGGTGTGTCTTAACATGTAATGCCAATGCCATGGATCTTTAGTGTTGCCATGGATTTGTCAAAATGCAATGCCAAGACACATTAGGCTAAAAATATTGTCTCCAATGAGAATATACACACCGCCTGTCGCGCTGAGTTGGAATGGAAAAGAGTGTACACTATGTATCCCTATTTCTAGTTTGAGCAAGTCTAATTGATAGGTTGGCTCAACAAAAGCTCAACAAAAGTCTAATTGACTCATAGTACGTAGTAATTCATTAGCCCAACAAAAGCTCTCCACGGTTGTTGTTGGAGATAAAAAAAAATTATTGGATATGTGTCCACGTGAGCTTCATTGGTTGTGCACATTAATGATGTGTCCATTTTTAATGCGGTGCAATTCACATCCCTATTAAATATGCTTTTAGCACCCCGGTATCGGACGACCTCTCTAATTAACACAAATCATAATTAATGTTTAGAGGTGCTTAACCTTTTATTTTTGTTGTTGTTGGAAGATGTAGTGTGTGCAGTGTAAATTGATCTAACTCCATAAAGAATTGTATCATTCGTAAAAAAAAGGAAAAGTTGAAATCTTTTAATTTATTCTTATTTAGTTGTTTTGTTGTTCTCTTATGCACTCCCTCATTTCATACTATTTATCCGAGTTATGTTTGGTATCACTTCAGTTCATAATTTTTTTTTTAAAATTTTGCATCAATTTTTTGTAAACTCAAATTAAATGTTGTTATTGCGGAAATGATTTATATCTATATGTCTATCTATATCTAGATAAGATGATTTAATCAAGAGAACATGAAAAAAAGAGCCTTGCATAGATCATCATCTACAATAATCATTATGCGGTATATCTATATCTATTATCTATATCTATATCTATATCTATATCTATATCTATATCTATATCTATATCTATATCTATATCTATATCTATATCTATATCTATATATTATACATTTAAGAGTCATATTGGTGGAAGTTTTTGCCACATGTCATTCCTTTAAGCATTTGCCACATGTCACTCTTACAACACTCATTCACTCTTTTGCTCTATCAATTTTACTTCTACTCCACATAAATGGTATAATATCAATTATTGTATAATATTAATTGAATTGGTGGTAAAAAACTTACCATGTAGATTTAAATTGGTTTCAATAAATATTCTAGAAGTCACAACCATTCAACAGTCTGTGATCAATGTTACTTTAGGCTCCATGTAATTGGTAATAAAATAAAGTAACATAAAAAGTAATTAATATAAACTATTATTTGTAATAAAAATTTTAATATGTACATATAGATTAGTTTCTATATTTTAAAAATTACAATTATGTTCATCTCTATTACCATATACTCCAAATAGTCTTTACAATCATGTTCATCTTTACCATCATAATCCACTGTATTTACAACTCTATTCTCATTATATCGCGGAAAAATTGAAAATCTATATCTATCTAGAGTATTATATATTTAAGAGTCATATTGGTGGAAGTTTTTGTCACATGTCATTCTTTTAAGCATTTGTCACATGTCACTATTACAACATTCATTCACTCTCTTGTTCCATCAATTTTACTTCTACTTTACATAAATGGTATAATCAATTATTGTATAATATTAATTGGTAGTAAAAAACTTACTATGTAGATATGAGTTGGTTTCTATAAATATTCTAGAAATCACAACCATTCAACAATCTATGATCAATGTTACTTTAGGTTCCATGTAATTGGTAATAAAATAAAGTAACATAAAAAGTAATAAATATAAACAATTATTTGTACTAAAATTTTTAACATGTACATATAGATTAGTTTTTATATTTTAAAAATTACAATCATTTCCATCTCTATTACCATCTACTCCATATAGTCTTTACAATCATGTTCATCTTTACCATCATAATACACTGTACTTACAACTCTATTCTCATTATAGCGCAGAAAAATTGAAAATAAAATCTCAATTATTGTTAGTCATCTCACAATAATCCAAATTATTGATGAATTTTTTTCAAAAATATTAATCCCTCCATATTTTAAAGTTTGCTAAACTTTCCTTTTTGGGATGTATTTTAAAGTTTGTGACATTTTCCCTTTCTGGTAAATTTTCCTTTAAAAAAAATACTCAATCGCCCATTTTTTTCTACTTTTAAAATTTTATGTTCTCTTTCATATTTTCACAGTTTCTCTCCTATTTTTTTGTACACTATTCACCACCCCTACTATTTTTCTTTTGAAATAATGGGCCAAAGCTAATGTAGAAATCTCTAAAATACGGGAGTACAAAATATGACTAATAGTTATTACAATAGTAATTGAACATAATTTACAATAATCTAAATTATTGATGGGTTTTTTTAAAAGTAATATTACGTACTAAAATAAAATCTATTTACACAAATATGAATAATAGTTACTACAATATAATGTCATTTAATTATTTCACTATTGATTATTTCTATCCAATCTCAAAGTACATGACTTCTCCACCAGTAATGGTCGGGTATAACCTGCTATGCAGGTCACTTTTAAATAGAAATGACTGAGTATAACAAGCTATGTATCAATGTATGTATGTCACTTTTAAATAGAAGTTTTACATATTCTATAAATAATCAGAACTATAGTCGTTATTCTTTTAATAATTTCATTCATCAAGTCATTTGTTTTACAAAACGTAGAAAAGTTTGTTAAAAAGTTCAAAATTAGGATTTTATGATATGTAAATTTAACTAAATCTAAAAATGTACGCATTTTAAAAAACAAAAATATTACGTTTTATTTCATTTTTAAAAATGCAATTTCTATGTTTTGATAAATATTTATTTTGGATTTGTTTTCCTTCAAATTCATGATTTTGTATTGGTTTTGTAACTACTTTTAAAATGATTCGATATTTTAATTAGGATGATTAAATTTTAAATTTTAAAACGTTTAGAAAAAACATTATTTTTTATTTTTTTCAATTTGAATCATTTAAAGTTTTTATATTGACATTTTTACTCTCTTTATTTATATATTTTATATTCCTTATATATTTATAATATCTTACATATTTTAATCTTTTAAATTTGAAATTTATATAATTTTTTCCATATTTTATATTTATATTTTTTTTATTTAATTCCACAAAATGCCCAAAAGGTTAATTATAGTAAAAATAAATATCTAAAATAATTTTTTACCATTTATTTATTTATTTATGAAAATTTTGATATAATTTTTGTGGTCTAATTAATAAAAGTTGACATATCATAGTTTGGATTATTACACTTGGACACTTCTTTTTTAGTTGTCTAAATAGGTAGCCGGTCACGTGAGATCATTATTGGCGGAAGGTCCCTAAAATTGGATTATTCTGAAATAATCAATAGTTGAGATTATTATGAACAAACCGACAATAGTTGAAATTATTATTATCAACTACGTAGTATGCTATTTACCAATTTTAGCATTACAGTTTCGGAAAATCACCTCTTCGAACGTATTGTCCCTACAAATGAACATTTATTTTAATATTGTCATATGTAACGTAACTCACCTTTTCAGATTGAAAATAAAATATATTAACAGAAAAACCATTAACTTAAAATTTTAATTGATAGTAAAAAAACTTACCATGCACGTATATATAGATTAGTTTAATTTCTATATTCTAGAAATCACTACTATATGCTACATATGTGTGACTTTCTACACCATATGATTGGTAATAAGTCTTATAACATAATTTATTTATTAAGTGGTACTAAAAGAAACATACCATGCAGGTAAATATATCGATCACTATATTATCAAAATGATAACCATGCTCTATCCGTATTACTTTATACTCCATGTAATTTGTAATAACATAAATCTACATAAAAATGATTTTGCATAACTTATACTATCGTAGTTTATACTAAAAAACTTAAAATGTACATACATATAAGTTTTTATATGTATCTTTTGTTATTAATAAGTTTCTATATCTTGGAAATTACAATCTTGCTTCATCTATATTATTTATTTATACTACATTTTCTTATTATAGCATTCAATAATTATTATAATAAACACAATATATAATTACCATATAGAGTTATATATATTAGCATTGCTATTTTTGAAAAGTTCAGTTCTCCACATGTATTGTCTCTAAAAATTAGCATGTATTTTAATATTATTGTATGCTACTTACCTTTTTCTATAAAACTCATTATCACTTGTTGGGTTAATGGCCCAATACGAGGGTTGGCCCATACACCATTAAGGTCCACCCTACGAACGTCCTTAGAAGGCCCAAGACAACGGGTTAGCCCCCCATTATCCTGACAAGGTTCATCCCCAACAGGGCCGAGCCCAGGGGACGTATGTATCCTAGTGTAGGCAGGTATCTTGACCCAAGGGCAGTGGCTAATGCACGTCTCGCAGGAAACATGAGATAAGCCAATGGGGACGAACGTCCCCAGAAGGCCCAAGGCAACGGGATACCCTTCCGATTATCCAGGGGATGTACGTATCCTAGCGTAGGCAGCTACCAAGGCCCAGGAACAACACGAGACGCACGTCTCGCAGGAAATAGGAGGTAAGCCAATGGGGACGAACGTCCCCGAAGGCCCAAGACAACGGGATACCATTCCGATTATCCAGAGGATGTACGTAGCCAAAGATAGGTGCTTTTCCCAGGAACAGCACGAGACGTACGTCTCGCAGGACTTCGGGCCCGGCAGGAGACAAGAGACAAGCTCATGGGGGCGAACGTGCCAAGATCCTGGCGGGATTCTGCATTTAATATAGAAGATCTAGTGGGTGCGCATTTAATGCAGAATATTTGGTGGTTGGGTTCAACGCATCTAACTACCCATTGGAAGTATAAATAGTAGCATTTATTTCATTGTAAAGAGAGACAACTTAGCACTCTAGTATTGTAGCATTCTTATTATCTCGTAGCATAGCAGAAGTACGAACGGCCTCACGCCCTGTAAGTACGAACGGCCTCACGCCTTGTAGGTACGAACGACCTCACACCTTGTAACAGTGGAGTCAAACCAAAACTTCTTATTGGACCTCATCTTACTTGTTTGATCTTATCCTCCTAGACTACCCACTCGAAACCCTTAGGTTGTGTGTTGGGCCTACGGGTTGAAGGGAATAAACTTCAACATCACTGAATATATTATTCCTACAATTCAAATGTCATTTAGAGAATTACATCATCGTGAGAGTAATTCACATCACCCTGAGAAATATGATTCTATAAAACTCATTATTACTGAATATGATTCCTATAATTCACATCATCCTCATCCAAATATGATTCAATTTCAAATGTTTCAATTGTGAAAAATAGTTGAAATACAAACTTAAATGGTTATTATCCACACAAAAATATACAACCTTGATATGAAAAAGTTCTTAATATGAAGTTAAAAAAAGATTACTTAGATAATGCTCCATTGCAATTATAAAAAGCTGTAAATGCTTTTTAAATTAAATAGTTTACAAAATAGAGAGATAGTTGGGATTAGATAAAAGTATTTTTGCAAATTTTAAACGGTATACATCCTCAATAAAAACCAATAAAAGCCTAAATAGACGTTGAGCTAGAATGTTTTTAATTGAACTGTTAGGACCGATATCAGTCTCACACTGGATCAGATCACCTTAAGTCGATCAGATTACATATAAATAGATTAAATTCGACAAGGCCATACTAAACATAGACAAATACAATAGTAAAATACATATACATTAAACGTTATCAGGTGTATATCATTAAAACCAAAATATAGATGAGACTTAAAAAGTGTGGACCATGCAAAACTAAAAATTCTCAATCCAATTAAAACATCCTTAATTGAGAGTTTTCATAATAATACATCAAAAAAGTTTTAAAATGCTTTTAAATTATATAATTTACCATTTCACCTTATCGAAATTACTAAGTTAACTACTTCATAGTATCTTGAATAGTTTCCCAATGTAGTTGTTAGTAAATAAATTTTTAATCAATAAACGAGCGAATAAATTAAATGTGAATAACCCTCTCAGCGCGTCTCTCTCCTTCAACATTTGTTTACAGCATCCCAGAGAGCCTTTGCAAGGAGGTGCCATGTTGATCTATCAGGATATTTTGACTAATGACGAACTTCTCTATGATTCATTTCCTTACAAGGAAATTGAGGGAGGACTACTATGGGAAGTTGAGGGAAAGTGAGTTGTTCAAGGAGCCGTTGAGGTAGATATTGGAGCAAACCCATCTGCAGAAGGTGGTGAAGAGGATGAGGGTGTGAATGACACGGCCGCTAAGGTTGTTGACATCGTTGATACATTTAGACTCCAGGAGATAGCCAGCTATGATAAAAAGAACTTTGTAGTATACATGAAGAAATACATTAAAGCAATATTTGGTAAGTTGACCGAACTGAACTAGAGGAGTTCATGAAGAAAATTGAGCCAGCAACAAAGTACCTGCTTGCAAAGCTTAAGGATTTGCAATTTTTTGCTGGCGAGAGTGGTAGAGATGATGGCAGTCTTGTGTTTGCTTACTACAAGGATGGTGCCACTGACCCTACATTCATCTACCTTCCCTATGGTCTCAAGGAGGTTAAGTGCTAAGTGGTCGATTACCTGTGGTGTGTTCAAGGAGAACTACATATAATATACTCCCTCCGTTTCAATTTCTTTGCCACACTTTCCTTTTTTGGTTGTTTCAAAAAGATTGACACGCTTCCTTATTTCCTTATTTGGTAAATAAATCTTTACCAAAACAGTGCAAAACAGTGCCAAAAAGTGCCAAACAGTGCCAAACAGTGTTCAAATAGTGCCAAACAATGTACTCTACAGTAAAATTTACCCATCGGTAACATTTTTTCCTTAATTCTTGACAAGTCAAACTGTGTCAAAGAATCTGAAACGGAGGGAGTATATGTTTTCTTGTAGTGCTAGCTCCTAATATTTGTATTTTTGTGCTTGTGTGAAGGGATTTTCAAAGTTTCTGTTATGTATTCGTATCTTTCATTTTTGAAGAATGATAATTGCTTTTTGCTTCTAAATCACGTAATAAGCACAACTTTGTTAGCTGATTGCAAAATAATTAAATGTGAATAATTTTTTTTAAACTATTGTAATATTTGTCATCGACAATTTTATAAGTCGGAATCATTTTCTTGCATTTAATTTTATATACAGTATTATGTACCGTGCATCGCACGGGTCAGATACTAGTTGTATTTTACAAGCATGTAAACTTTGATTATAAATAGTAACATAAGTTTAAAGAGGCCTTTATATCTGTCATGTTTGTTCAATTTCCAAAAATATCTAGTTCATACTCAAAACTTGCTAAAGAGATCAAACTTCATTTGTTACGAGTAAACTTTTGAATATCCATCACATCACTTTCTAGGGTTCCAAGTGTGCGTATGAAGTGCAAATTAATAGTTCACACGAGTTTTGAACTTGTTCAAGTTATTCGATTCACCTGCTCATCTTTAAAAATATAATTGTCGACATTGAGATTAATTAAATTAAAATAGAAAAATTAAAAGTAAATTAATAATTGTTCAATCATACCCCTCCCCTCCCCCCTCCTTCTCTCTTCCTTCTCCTTCTCCTTACCCTTAAAACTAGAGATGACGGGGTGCCACAAGAATTTTTTTTTGTCTGTGCGAGAAATGATTTTCTTCACAAAAATGTCGGTCAAACTGTCTGTATACAGACAATTTGACCGACGTGTAAAATCATGTGTACAAGTGCCGTGTACAAATAGCATTAGTGAAAAAACTTATCTACTTAGCTGCGAGAGATGGCTTACATACTTAACCCTATATGTGTATTTATTTATATATGTTCAATTAAACATTGACAAAAAATAACATACTCTGTCTCATTTTTTCTCTATTTTTACTTGACAAGACCTTTTGGACAGCAAAAATTATCTAGATTAAATATAGACATGACTAGAAATTAAATTAAATATGATCGATCAATATTAATTGAAGAGATAACTGGGGTATGGGGAAACAAGAAAACAGAAGATAATAAGCGCAAAATATATAATAATTTTGGAGAAGTGAAAACTCAGTTAATTGCATTCATATTGGATTGCGTCAATCACGTTGAACGGTTGAAGTCAACTGGTTACGTTCAAATTTTATTAACATTGTTGTACTACTATTCCCTATAGATAAATCAATTAATAGGTGTGGCTAAAAAACATGCAAGGGAAAGTAAAGGAAGAGAAGCAATGCATCTTTCACATGAACAAAATTGGTACCTCATAAATAGACTGACCAGCACCAAAGATGAAGTCTATGGCTCCTTCAATGATGCAATGCTTGAAGTAATGTCTTCCCTGCGCATCCAACAATGTGTCCTGCACTCCGGCGAAACTGCATTCGTAAAACGCCGTTTTGTCCCCGGTGATCATCGCCGCTACGGCGGGTTTCAGAGGTTTGCCGCCGCCGGCAGACTTCATTGGAGGATAGTTGTAAGAATTCTGTCCCACCCATTGAGATGATTTCAAATTTTATCTTTACCCAAACCACTTACACTTTTTTATGTTTAGGAATAAGTATAGGTTGATAACTAAACTATTCAAATAAAATAGTAGTACAAGCATATTTTCATATAGAAATCAGTTAAAATTGATGACATTAATTAATCATTTCAATGATTTCCTGTACATATGAACTTATATGGACATACATAAAAAAACACAAACAGAACTTAAATTAGGCCGAATGTCATTTGGGGGTACGGCTATGAGGCTATCTACCTATATGTAATTATTGAATGTGAGATTTTTGTTACGATTTAGGTTAAGTAAACGATAAATTAACGAGCAAGAACACAAGAATTTACGTGGTTCACACAATCGGGGTGATTGTGCTAGTCCACGGCGAACGAGAGAGAGTTGTGTATTATTATGTCGACGTCAAGAGGTATTACACGTACAAAGATGTGTTTAAATAGGTTTAAGAAAACCTAAACAAAGGATTAGAGCTGCAGGCCCAAAATTAAGCCCGTAATTAAAAAATCTCCGCAGACCCGGTCGGGTCTCCTATTGTACCCGGTCGGGTGTCTCCTCAAAAGGCATACCCGGGTCGAAACCAGGGCGGGTATCCTAAACAGAGACCAAAACCTTCCACGGACCCGGTCAGGTAAACCTCCTTACCCGGTCGGGTTTCCAAACCAGTGAGTTGCCCGGCCAAGTTCACATCATACCCGGTCGGGTAATTCTCCTTACCCGATCGGGTTTCCAATCCAGAGAGTTGCCCGGCCAAAAACTGCCTCATACCCGATCGGGTGACTGACCCTACCCGGTCGGGTATCTCCTGCTGCTGCAGAAACAAGACTCCATCTTCAACAATCTCCCACTTGGAGGCTTGTTCAACAATCATCTGTCATCCAATAACTTGTATCCTCTGTAAAACCCCTGATCTCTCTCTCTCTCTCTCTCTCTCGTTCACGCCTTCTCATCAAGTATCTGGAAGGCCAGTTGAAGCCATGCAAAGCTTCAACTTCTCCGTTGTCACCGCCTTGGTTAGCATGTCTGCTGGATTCTTCGTACCAAGGATCTTCTGCAAATTTATAGTACCATCTTCAATCAACTCTCGGATGAAATGATACCGCATCTTGATGTGTTTCATTCTACTGTGAAACACCGGATTCTTTGCGAGATGAATAGCACTCTGGTTGTCACAATATAGAGCGCAATCTCCCTGCTTCATGCTCAACTCAGAAAGAAAGTTCTTCAACCAGATCAACTCCTTGGCCGCTTCAGCAATGGCCATATACTCAGCTTCTATGGTTGAAAGAGCCACTCTTCTGTAGTCTGGACATCCAACTTATTGCCGTACCTCCAATAGTGAATACATACCCCGTTGTGCTCTTCCCGTAATCATAACAACCCCCCAAATTAGCATCGGCAAATCCTTCAAGGATCACACCATTCCTTCTGAAACATAGGGCAGTTTCAGAAGAGCCTTTCAAGTAGCGCAACAACCACTTAACTCCTTCCCAATGTTCCTTTCCTGGATTTGACATGAACCTGCTAACAACTCCCACTGCATGAGCAATGTCTGGCCTTATTGACACCATCGCGTACATCAAACTGCCAACGCCTGATGTATAAGGAACTCTAGCCATTTCTTCTTTGTCTTCATTGGTCTTTGGAGACTGGTGCTTGGAGAGTTTCAGTTGACTCCCTAATGGTGTACTCCTTGGTTTAGCATCCGTCATTCTGAACTTCTCAAGGACCTTCTGAATGTACTTTTGCTGTGAAAGTTGTAAAGTACCTTTTATCCTGTTTCTGACTATGCTCATCCCAAGAATCTGTCTCGCTTCCCCTAAATCCTTCATTTCAAATTCTTCTGACAACTTCTTCTTAAGCTTGTTGATCTTGCATATTTGCTCCAGCCACCAACATGTCATCAACATACAAAAGAAGGATGATGTATGATGACTTGAATTTCTTCAAGTAACAGCAATGGTCCATCTTGCATCTAGTGTACCCATTCCGCTGCATAAAACTATCAAACTTCAAGTACCACTGTCTAGGAGCTTGCTTTAGCCCGTATAGACTCTTCTTGAGTTTTCACACCAACTTCTCCTTACCAGTCACTGGGAACCCTACTGGTTGAGCCATGTAAATGTCTTCTTCAAGGTTGTCATGAAGAAAAGCAGTCTTTACATCCAACTGCTCCAATTGCAAATTTTCAGCAACAATAATACCAAGGATCAACCTGATAGTAGTCATCTTCACAACCGGAGAGAAGATTTCATTGTAATCAACCCCCTTCTTCTGTTGGAACCCCTTGACAACTAACCTCGCCTTGTATCTTTTGCTCCCATCTGCTTCATCTTTGATTCTGAACACCCACTTGTTCTCAAAAGCTTTCTTTCCCGGTGGTAACTTGAATAAGGACCAAGTTTGATTCTTGTCAAGTGAATCTAACTCATCCTCCATGGCCTTCTTCCACTGTATGGAATCCTTCACGGTCAGCGCCTCTGTGTAAGATTCTGGCTCTCCATTCTCGGTCAGCAACAGATAATTTGCTGAAGGAGAATATCTGTTAGGAGGTCTTCTGTTTCTAGTGGACTGTCTGATTTGTGGAGTAGCTTCCTCCGAGCTCCCACTATCTTCAGAAATTCCTGTATCTCCTAAGCTCCCACTGCTCCCTGAGCCTCCAGCCATGCCATCACAACCAATAGGTTGTGCTATGTCGTCTTCAGTCATCCCTTCAAACACCACTTGTTGTTTGTTTTCTGGTTGCTTGCCTTTCCTAGTGTCTGCTGCAAGATCATCTTTATACAGGGAATTCTCGTTGAAGGTGACATCTCTACTTCTGATAAACTTCTTGTTGTGGTTGTCCCAGAACCTGTAGCCCCTGTCATCCAGGTCGTACCCAATAAAGATACATTTCTTTGCCTTTGCCTCGAGCTTGTCACTGTCTGCATCTCTAACTTTGACATAAGAAATACAATCAAAAACTTTCAAGTGATTAAGAGATACCTCATGACCTTTCCATTCCTCCTCTGAAATTTTGAACCCTATGGGAAATGAGGGTCCTCTGTTGATCAAGTACGTTGTTGTGTTCATCGCATCGGCCCAGAACATCTTTGGAAGTCCTGCATGTAATCTCATGCTCCTGGCCCTCTCATTCAGTGTTCTGTTCATCATTTCTGCAACACCATTTTGCTGTGGTGTTTCTGGAACCGTCTTCAGCATTCTTATCCCCTGTTCAACACAATACTCTACAAACTCTGTGCTACTGTACTCACCCCCATTATCACTCTTTAAACACTTAATTTTAAGATTAGTTTTGTTCTTAACTGCAACTTTGAACTTCTTAAAAATGTTAAAGACTTCAGATTTATTTTTAAGAAAATAAACCCATACCTTCCGTGTAGAGTCATCAATGAATGTAACATAGTAGCGGGAACCTCCAGTTGAAGAGACCTTTGTAGGTCCGTAGACATCTGAATGAATCAACTCCAGCCGCTCAGTCTTGGGTTGTTGCCCTGTCTTCACAAAGGTTACCCTCTTTTGTTTACCAAGGACACATGGCTCACAAAAGCTCAACTTTGAGTTCTTCAAATCTGGAATTTTACCCTTTGAAGACAGCATCTTCATTCCATTCTCACTTATGTGCCCAAGTCTTTGGTGCCACAAAGTAGAGACCCCTGCATCTTCAACTGCTACGTTTGCTCCATCTGTAGACACTTCTACAATGTACAGCGTACCATGCTTCTGTCCACGAGCAATGACCAGCTTTCCCTTTGTCGCCTTCCATTGCTTGTTGCCAAAACTAACGTTATGGCCTTCCTCATCAAGCTGTCCCACTGAGATCAACATCTTCTTCAGACCTGGAATATACCTGACATTTTTCAGCCTCCAGGTTGTACCCAAATTGGTATTGAGATTAACATCCCCAATACCCGTGATCTCCAGGGATTTGTCATCCGCCAAACGAACTCTTCCGCTGTAGGGCCTGAAATTTTGCATCAAATCCCTGCAATGACAAGCATGAAACGACGCACCTGAATCCATGATCCAGGACTCAATTGAATTCTCAACGCTGCAAATTAGGACATCTTCATAATCCTCTGCCATGTTCACCTCCTTCTTGCCTTTGTCTGCAGAGTCTTTGGGGCACTGATTTCTGAAGTGTCCATTCTCCTTGCAATTCCAACAATTGATGTCCTTCCTGTTCTTGGATTGACCTTTCTTCCTCGACTTTGATCTTCCTTTCTTGTTACCTCCTTTAGTGGATTTTCTGCCCCTATCTTCAGTACTCAACAAACTGTTTGAGCTATCCCCCGAACTCCTCCTCCGGATATCCTCACCAAGGATCAAGTCACGAATACCCTCAAAGGTAAGTTTAGTGGTTCCAGCCGAACTACTAACTGCTATGACTGTACCGGACCAACTATCAGGCAAAGATGATAACAAAAGTAATGCTTGAACTTCATCATCAAATTTAATCTCAACCGAACCTAACCTGGATATGATTGAATTAAACTCGTTGACGTGATCTGTTACGGCTGCACCTTCCTTCATTCTCGTGTTCACCAACTGTCTGATTAAGAAAACCTTGTTGGCCGCTGAGGGTTTCTCGTACATGTTGGATAACGCCTTGAGTAGTCCAAACGTTGCTTTCTCGTTGACGATGTTGTAAGCAACGTTTTTCGCCAACGACAACCTCACCACACCAAGAGCCTGTCGATCCAGCAAGTTCCACTCCGCCTCCGCCATTGATTCTGGTTTGTTCTCAGACAAGGGTAGATGAAGCTTCTTCTGGTAGAGATAATCCTCGATTTGCATCTTCCAGAAAGCAAAATCTTGACCATCAAATTTATCGATCTTAACCTTTCCTTCGTCAGCCATAGCTCTGATACCACTTGTTACGATTTAGGTTAAGTAAACGATAAATTAAAGAGCAAGAACACAAGAATTTACGTGGTTCACACAATCGGGGTGATTGTGCTAGTCCACGGTGAACGAGAGAGAGTTGTGTATTATTATGTCGGCGTCAAGAGGTATTACACGTACAAAGATGTGTTTAAATAGGTTTAAGAAAACCTAAACAAAGGATTAGAGCCGCAGGCCCAAAATTAAGCCCGTAATTAAAAAATCTCCGCAGACCCGGTCGGGTCTCCTATTGTACCCGGTCGAGTGTCTCCTCAAAAGGCATACCCGGGTCGAAACCAGGGCGGGTATCCTAAACAGAGGCCAAAACCTTCCACGGACCCGGTCGGGTAAACCTCCTTACCCGGGCGGGTTTCCAAACCAGTGAGTTGCCCGGCCAAGTTCACATCATACCCGGTCGGGTAATTCTCCTTACCCGATCGGGTTTCCAATCCAGAGAGTTGCCCGGCCAAAAACTGCCTCATACCCGATCGGGTGACTGACCCTACCTGGTCGGGTATCTCCTGCTGCTGCAGAAACAAGACTCCATCTTCAACAATTTTTTCAATCTATACATAACCCAAATTTGTGTTTCTTGGAATCATCTTCCCTAACAAAAAAATACAAACTTGATTTCACAAAGAATACTCCTTCCTCCTCTCAAAATTTTGTCAAGTTTGATCAGCACGGAGAATAATAAAGTAAAAATAGTGCAATTAAGCATGTAAAGAGAGTTTTACTTACCACAAATTGAAGCTTTTCAACTTTGATGTTGTCCGCATAGGATGTGAAAGTTGGACTTGCTACGAGTGATTCACTATTATCCCATACAATAGTTGGCCTTTGTATCCCCACCCCCTTGAGGTAAATGTATTGTTTGTCACCGGGAATTGTTACCTTTTCTCTACACATCATAAATAAGATCATTATTACTAATATAGCAAGCATTCATAGTTCTATTTATGAAAGGTTTTTCATTACTTCTTAAACCTTTTCACAGGAATCATAGCGTTGATAATACACCAGGCATATGGACACTATTAACACTATGCATGTTTTTACTTGACTTGATATAAGTCCTAAATTAGTTCGGAACAAACTAGACCATACTTAAACAGATCATATAAGATCAAATTAATTTTGACAATTGTAAAGTACACAAAGACCAGACATCTACCAGACCATATCGGTTCAGACCAGATTAACTAGACCAAACTAGAAAATTCCAGTTCAATTAAAAAAATCATGTGTTAGACTTCACACTACAAAAGAACACGGGATTTGCAAGGATTTTTGATAGGGATTTTCCAAAATTGACAGGGATTTGGGTGGGAACATGTCAAATCCATGTCAAAAATAGTTTGTCACGAGCAATTTGGCACGAAATCATCGGTAAAATCGTGCCAAATTTGTGTCATTCCCGTAATGTTTTTGTAGTGTGATGAGAGGTTCAAAATTAAAGGACTTGGTCCTCTAAGAGATGGAATTTAAACTTGAGTTACTTGAGAAGAAGAGAAATTACTAGCTAAACAAAACGGGCTTGTGTACATATAACATTCTAAAACAATGTTATCAATGTGTGTTTAATATATATGTTGCCTGCAATTTTGTATCCGGGCATGATATGCAAGATATATAATTCAAGAATAACAAAATGTAAATACCAGGCATATATAACTATGATGATAAAAATATCATATTACGTATAAAAAACCAACATATAATACCTGTAAATACCAGGCATGATAAAAATGCAAATCCAGCGGAGATTGTTGGAGGGAATTGCATCAATGGCTGATTGAATGGTTTTGAAATTGGTAAATCCTGACTGGTCAACATAGATAGTTGGGGAGAACACATGTTCATAATGAAACCATGGATATGGTGGATTCCCTCTTCCATTAACCAATCCCAGGAACAAGAAAAGGAATGGCAGGTTCTTGGACATGTTTAATTTCCACTGCTGCAAATTAAAGAGAAGAGCTGAGGTAGAACAAGGATCTATTTATTCAGAACAAGTTTTAGATAGAGCAAATAGCTAGCAAGCTAGCAAAAGGTATATAGTTCGAAAGTCAAAGTTGATGATGTAAAATGAAGTCCGGAAGTAGGATGTTTTTACTTGGACCGTAATTTGCTGGTCTGGTCTGGTCTGGGCTGGTCTGGTCTTGTTTGGTCTGGTCTGAAATGGTCTGGTCTGGTTTCTTTGTATTTTTATAACTATCCAAGTCTGGTCTGGTCTGGTCTGAACTGGTCTGGTCTGGTCTGGTCTGGTCTGATCTGGTCTGGTCTGGTCTGGTCTGGTCTAGTCTAGTCTGGGACGAATTACAGTCCAAGTAAAAACATCCGTAGTAGTACTACGACCCCGTTTGGTAACACTAAAATTGACTGAATTGGCTGATTCTGCTGTAATTTATGAAGTTATGGCGAAAGTGGCTATATTGGCTGATTCTGCTGATTAATGAAAAAATTTATTTAAAATATTTGTTATTAATAAAAAAAATAAAAAATTATATGATTGAAATAGCTAAAATGATCCTCTACAATAACTTCAGCCAATACAGACAGAAAAGTAACTCTCCAACCTCACTTTTTCTGCTTATTACACAATTCAGAGTGCGAAATCAAAAGTTACGTGTTTAGTGAAAAAATTGACTGATAAGCCTGATCGCGCTCTACATGCCGCTGGTGATGTACGTGCTGATTTAAAGGCGCTCACTTTTCATCATATTTTGACTTCGACCTGAACAATAATGAACAAAATATAATTCGCTTCTATCCTCAAGCAGGCAGTGTTCTATAATCGCGCATTTGCATTGACTGTACTTATGGATGATAAATAATTATTTATCAAATTTATGTAATCCCGAAACTGTACACTTAAAAACAATATCAAAATGCGATTGATTAGAAAAGATGTGACAAAATGATAAGGAAAAAACAAATTGCAAAATATGTAACATTCTTAATGATAACAGTACTCCTAACTTATATATACTCCCAAATATTCTTAAAAGAAGGTGCACTAAATAAGAGTAAAAATGTTTATCAATTTCAAGGAAAATTGTCATGTTTTTAATATCTAAATAGGAGAATATGTTTTGACATTAACAGATTTTAAAAATGATAATATTTTCCAAATTTGATAGTAGTTACTTCTATTGAAGAATAAAAATATAACAATCTTTTTTTGATTAGTATAGTATTATTAAAGATGTAAATTTTATACTTTTATGAAAATATTTTTAATGAAGAACATTTCCAAATAATTTTTATATTATAAATAAAAACATATTGGTCAAAGTTTAAAATGATGACCAAAAGTTCAAAGATGATAAAATTTTAAGGGATGAGGCAAATCTTTTTTTTTTTACAAAAAGGGTTGCAATTTTTTAAATTAGTGAAATTTATTTTTATTACCGCGAAAAAACTATTACTTTCTTCGTTCCACTGGACTTTGCCAACTTTCATTTTTTGTTTGTCCCAAAAACTTAGCCACTTTCCTTTTAAAGCAATGTTTTTGTGGCTCTGTTCATTTCTCTCTTCTCTGCACAAATCTCAGCCACACAAATTTTACTATTCTAATTTCCCACCTAACATCAATTAGGCAAAGTTGAGTGGGACGGAGGTAATATAATTGAATGACACAAAATGATGGTGTGACGAAATTAAAGTGTAATTCAAATTTCTCAAGCTAATCACTTCTTTTTCGAATTGCACCTCAAGTAGAGAATATTACCCGAAATAGGCCTAAAATAGTTTGAAAATTCCAAAATAGGACTGTCATGTTTTTATTCTCTAAATAGGACTAATTACTGTCATGTTTTGGCAGTACCAGACTTAAAACATGGCAGTATTTTCTAAACATGACAGTAATTAGTCTTATTTTGAGAATAAAAAACATGACAATCCTATTTTAAAAATTTCAAACTATTTTAGTCTTATTTCGGGAACTTTCCCCCTCATGCGTGATCATACCTAGGGGGGCACCACGAGCCCTAGCCTACCTCATATGTGATAAAAGCCTTTATTTTACATTAAAAAAACAGTTTCAAACACATAATCATAATTAAAGTAGTAAACAAAAAATGCAATTCTGTTCAAATTTTACATGATAATGACTATAAAACTTACCTATATTAATTTATCGTCACATTATTGTCTTTTTTAATAATAATATTTCAGGAAATACTTTTTAAGAAAATATGTGAAAATTTATACTCCCTCCGTTTCTGAAACAAGTTCCACATTTTACTTCACACATATTAAGAAAATAAATTTGACTTTACCGTGGAGTGCACTGTTTGGCACTGTTTGAACACTGTTTGACATTGTTTGACACTGTTTTAATGTAGATAATTTGCCAAATAAGGAAATGTTTGAGGGTGAAACTTAATTTTGAATCTGCCCAAAAAGGAAATGTGGAACTTGTTTCAGAAACGGAAGTAGTATATTTTGTTTCCAACCGGTCCACAATATTTTTTCTAGCCCATAGCTGGAGAGTCAGGATCTCTTCTCGAAAGCTATTATCAACGTGTGCATATGTATGTATTTCTGATGCATAAATAGTTACATCTGGATCCAAATGAGATAAATGTGTGTTAACATAAAATTAATGATTAGTTAAAATTATTTTTAGTTCAATTTTAAACAGTGGAGGAGCCCCTTTACTTCAAAGGTGTTCAAATGAACACCTATAATTATTTAAATTATTTACTGTCTTTTCAAATTTTAATTATAGAAAAAATTGAACACTCAATCTGGCCTTGGTTCTGACATGATCAGTAATCGGGTTATTCAATCATCCAAGATTGTATATTTTTGGCATGGTTTACGTTTATTTCAGGACTTGAATTTTCCGTCTTAGCTTGTACAAGCACCCATACTCTCATTTACTATTGAAGATTTTTTGCATAAAACCAGGCTTCAATTCGTGATAACATGTGACATCCAAAGAAAACGATGGCCTCAATATATATTCTAAACAGCTCAACAAGTTCTGCCATCAGCAAGATTAGTGGTGTAATTTTTCTACGCCATGAGGTCACCATTGTCCTTTTTTGTTCTTTCCTTGTTTTATTAGAATATCTATGTCATTTCATTTTAAAATTATTATTAAGTTCTTTTTATAGGAAATAAAAATAATAGGGTCGTAACATTTGAGTTCGCATATATATTGTTTGGTTGCAATTAATGTTTAGTGTAAGGGATAATTATAATTAGATTTTGATGATGCTATATTAATTAGGACTTTAGAGTACCCCGCTTTAGAAAATTGTATTAGAAATTTTTTATGTAATGTTTTTTTTTAATAATCTACTAACAGAAGACCTCCTGATAGAAGCTCGTTTGGCACGCTTCTAACAGAAGACCTCCTGGTCCTTTGCCGGACTTCACTAGAACAGAAGCTCTCAGACCCTCAGTTGGCCCCTACCTTGACAGAAGACCTAAGGATCCTCTGGTAGCTTTTATCCCAACAGAAGTGCTCGAGACCCCCTCTGTTTGATTCTCTGTTGCAGGTACCAGAAGGCCTAACACTTAGAGAATTTCATGGAACTATCTAAGCTGGTGATTCAACGGAAGATTCCTTCAACGGCTAGTAGACTTCAACGGAAAAGCTACAGTACGCGCATTAAATGCTCATTTAATGCGCCCCATACGCTGAAAAGTAAAAGCTGATGATTGGCCGACATTTCAGGATATCCTTATCCCAAAATAGCAACTCGCCAACTTTATCGGGTCCTACTGGTCAAATCAACAGTACAAACATTAAATGAAGTTGTCTTCTACACTCCAACGGGAAGACGGCTTCCAGTATATAAGATATACTTCGAAGAACTACAAGGATAACTTTTGCTACAACTTTTGCTCTCACCACAACATTCAAACATTCGAGCTTTCTTGAGACTTCAAATTCATTCACTTCAACAAGAAAAGCTTACGTTGGAAAGATATCATCTTCATATCCTCTCTTCCAACAAAGAGCAAAGATCCTCCAGTTCTTCAACACTTCTAAAGCCTCAACTACATATCTTTTGTGACGAAGCTATGTTGGAGAAAACTGATTTTTAATCAATACACTTCTTGAAAGAGAATGGACGTCTCAAATTAGCTGGTGTAAGTGAAGTGGGGATACTTCAAGAGACTCAGTGAAACGAGACCAGCCATCAGGAAGCAAGGACTGCATCCCGGGTGGCAACTAGGCTTGAAGAAGACGTGGAGTGCTTCTTAAGTGCTAGGGACTAAGGCGTTGTAATTGTTGACTTACAAGCTTGTTGGAACAGTGGACTAGAGGAACACGTTGTTCCTTGAACCACTATAAAAATACTGGTGTCATTTACTTTACGCATTTATTTTCTGCACTTAAGATTCTGACTGCATAACTCCCAAGAACTTGGACTCTGTGTTCAGCAGATCTTGTTCTCAGAGTTACCAGAAAGACATTTGCCTTAGTGTTTTTCCTGAGGCTACCCAGACAGAGCCTAATCCGCTGCCAGGTCCATTTCTGTCATCAGAACTCGACTTTCTCTGTCACCAAAACCAGACCTTCTCTGCTAAGTCAGTGTTGACTTAAACACATATTAGACCTTCTCTGTTGATCATCTTAGAAGAAAGCATTATGACAAATTCAGCCATAACTAACATTTAAACACATATCAGGAACTTTTGAAATGATATCAGTAAATATACCTGTGTAAAATTGAACCTCATTGAAGAGAAAACAATTTATCCCAGTTACAACCACATACAAAACTCGAACTCACAAATATCAAAAGCATAAATAACATTGGCTTATTGATTCATCGTTTGCAAAATATGGATGAAAAATTCATATAATGGTGGAAAAAGAAGAAATTTAGTAAAACACAAATCCTAGACAAAATGAATTGCATACTAAGTGAAAGTTAACAGTTTAAGCAGGCTAACTCCTTAACTATGCTAAAAACTTAAAACATGACTAAAATATAAAGCAATTTCAAAAAGAGTAGAACAATACGGAGTATTATTTATACTTAAGATATAACTTATAGTTCATAGTACGAAATTCTCGTAATTAAAATCCAGCAGCGATGCCTAAAAATAATACGAAGTATATAGAATTGAAAAGATATGCGAGTCGAGCTTGGCTTATTGATTCATAGTTTGCATTTAGAAATTGCAAATGATTATTATCTTTCATAAAAGGAATTGTATCTATTGTGAGAAACATAAGCTAACTTACTAAAACACAAATAAACTGGATAAATAACATGAATTCCGAAAAGTAAAAGAACAAAGTAAACGAAAAGATAATGCTCAAGCATCCAGCTTTTCAATTTTGATTCCCTTGAGTTTCTTATTTGTTGAACTCTACGTAGAAGAGTCAACATGTTGCCCAGCGTTTGAAGGCCTCTTTGATGTTGAAGAAGGGGTGGTTTGTATTATTATGTCGTCTTCAGTTGAGGATGGTGTCTACATGCCAATATTTGTGAATTAGGGATGAAGTCAAAATATTTGGATGGATAAATAAACAGTAAGTACTTACTATATTAGATTCAACCGTGGCTGGAGAAGAAAAAAGTAAATCAAGATCCTCATCAGAGTTATAGTCCTGAACATCCCAAAAAAACCTCATTAAGATCCTCACCGCAGAATAGATATATATAAATTATAAGAGTGTTGAATAGTGCTGCTCCAGAATACATTTATTAAATTATTAAAGAAATAACAATCAGTCTTTCACGCTTCTTTGCTAAGAATATTTATTGAATTTAACATGTGAGTATGACATTTGATACCTATTCAGTAACTGGTTAGATAACTAATTGGGAAAGGTAGAAATTTGTTTTGAAATTTCAAAAGTGTAATTTCAAAAGTTTGATTTAGTTACAGAGAATTGTACCTGTCTCCCAGGCTGATTGGCTCCAACAGACTTAAGCTCCTCAATTTTATCTTGATCGGTTGAGACCATACCAATGGAGTAACTCTTTCCGTTTAAAGTGGAGCCTGGTTGACGGTCAACTTTAAAAACAAACTCACGACCTACCAAATCTTTTATTTCATCTGGGCAGCCTGAAGGTGATAGCCTCTCCTACACATGCAGAGCAAAAGCACATATTCAAGTCATATTTAGTCATATTACTAAATTTAAAATCAAATCAAAGGGATTTGCATTTCTTATGATAAAAAATGGTTCAAATTAAGGATAGTGTGAGGTAGAATTACCATGTCATAATAGTGACTGGGAAAATCTCCAGCAGATTTTCCAATCAAACGACTGCTCACAGCATCCCAGAAAACCAAATTTGCATAATTACTGTTATGGTTAGCCTTGAGTCTTAAATTGTATCTCCAAACACCCTCTCCATCAGCAACTTGAATCACTATATTTTAGGAGATAATAATGAATCACTATATTCCCAATTATAAAAACTGAGCTTATAATGATTTATTACCTTTTAAGAGATTAATGTTCATTTTCATATCACTAAGTTGTACAGATTTCATTTCAAAGTAGAATAACAACGTTGAAAATGTATTTTTGTTTACCTCGACTGCTTTCTCCAATTCAGACAATGGCATTGTGAAGCCAATTTATGTACTGCTACCAACGGTTACAGGACCAGAAGAGGAAGCGTGACTTATTGTTTGAGAAGTGTTACGTGTGGTTTGCAGATACCTATTACCAAAAGAAAGATTTTAGTGCATTTTTAACTCAGCATAATTCTATAATAGACTTGAGACTAATACATGTTGTAAGTGGTAACTAAAACAAAACTATTTTAGATATCGGTTTACCTAAGGCGAAAGTCTTCTATGTCTGGGACATTTGCATCCAAAAAAAGTTTTGTCACATGGTAAGATGTAGCTACACCGTTTGAGGAACATCTGCCTAAAAAGCCATATAATTGCATATGTTTTTATCAACTAAAAACTATACTAATAAAAATAATGTTTGAATTTTAACAAATAGATGCATGTACTTAACCATATTTTGGATTAATACGGCACATCTGTAGCAAGATAACAACTGGATTTGTTCTAGGTTGAGATAAATACGTCTCAAAGTGGTCCACATACACATTCCATAAAGTGCAAAAGAGCCTTTTATTCCTATAAAGAAAGAAGATAAGCGTAAAAATGAGTGAAAGATAAATATAGATAACCTTAATAACATAGAATTGGAAACGGGGACAATTTGATATACTTAACTCGATGTCCCGAATATAAAAGTTAGTGTATGTTGATCCTGACTCAGTGTAATGCTTTATTAATTTGTCGTGGGGATCGTACACACCAATTACATCTAAAAATAAGAAATAGAAACTCATTTAGGTGACCATATATAGATGCAGTTATATGATTTGAGTTTATTATAAAGTTACACATATAAGTATTATTATATTACTAAACTCTTACCAATGAGATTACTCTTTTCATCAGGGCAGTTGTGAATATCATTGAAAGATGTAAAATTATAGATGTCTAGGGGCAAGTCCTTATGGTCTTTTAATTCCTGACGCTTAACCTTAGTTCCTTCATTGAATTGAAACCTGAAAGGGTGTGATGCCGGTCTCCACTTTCCATTATTCGACTTGACAGTGAAATTACACATGGCATACAACCCACCTTCTTCCAACTGACCTTCAAATAGTTGGATTTCTGAACGGGATATTGATGCTTGAATTCGAACTTCCTATAAAAAGATTATAGGGATCATTACGAATAATTATCATTTGGATAAAAATATCTATAAAAGATGTTTAGGATAAGATGATAAGAGATGCATGAAAATGGCTTCTACCAATGACGTGCACTTTGTAACGGTGCGTCAAAATAATTTCAATACTAAACACTTATACGTAGTATAGCGTAGTAGAGTTCGTATCCACAGGGAAAGGTATAATTCTCTTTCTATGAATTTTAGTAAATGAAAGGGGGGGATTTGGATTGAGTGATTTAATTTAATTAAAAACTAAGATGAACAACCTATATGTGTTTAATTCAAAGATAAAAAGGACTTGGCATTGCTACTTTCCATTTGTTGATATATTTTAGTCGATCATTGTCATATCTATAACTTATTCCCTCTCGAATACTCAATCGGGGAGTATATCCACTTCATCGAGGGTAGTTATTAACAACGACCGTTCATTAATAACCCTTACTATTAATCAAATATAGAACAACGCCTTATACCGATTTAATAGTAGCATTTAATCTTTCTAACTCCTTGATGAAATCAATTGAGATTGATAACCTCAACACAAGCGGTTTCGGTTTAACCAACAAAATTAATCCCTCTTAAGTTTATTAACCACGATCGTGCATTAATAAACCGAAGTTACTTACTTGTGAAACCATCAACGATTAACCATCGGTTCGTTGATAGTTTCTAGTAATAATTAATATATGAAACAAAACTAGTTGATCCTTTAAGTAATGTTCAAAATATTAATATGAAATAAGAGTAGGAATTAATAAATACTCAAGGAAGAATATTATTAAAGAAGATGAATCCTACTATAATTAATATCAAGATGTTAACTAATTGTCATCTTAGCAACACTCCCCAACATTAATATAGAGGAAGAAAATACCATTCTAACTAATGTCGAGATGTTAACTAATTGTCATCTTAGCAACACTCCCCAACATTAATATAGAGATGGTATTAAGGAAAAAACTATTAATTAGTATTCAAGGAAAGAAGTTAAGAAAATAACTCACAACTTTAATAATCAACAAACTTCAAGAGCAACACCAAGAATGGAAGTTTAGCTCCTCATTTGGAGACTAAACATAGCTACAAAAATATAAAGAAATGTTATTCTAAACTAAGCTAAAGAGTATGGAAGAAGGGATTATCTTTTGTGAAGAAAAAGTGTGCTATTTATAGGTGTTTTTCAACACCTTTGGCCGGGTACCCGACCGGGTCAAGTACTCACCCGACCGGGTCCGGTCAAAATCAGATATTTCCCCACGTTCTGGTGATCTTTGGCATGTTAAAGTGTCCGGGTCAAGTCAGACCCGACCGGGTCAAGTAAGGGACCCGACCGGGTGAGTGCAAAAATTGGATTTTCTTCACGTTCGGGTGATCTTTGCACACCGGGTTGTCCCCGGTCACTTCTCACCCGACCGGGTGAGGTAGTGGGCCCGACCGGGCCATGCACTTTCTTTGCATTTTCGTTTTTCACTTCTTACCCGACCGGGTCAAGTGTTATACCCGGTCGGGTATTTGCTCCTGGGCAGCCAAATCTTCTTTTTCTTCACTTCAAAGTCTTCCTTTCCAACACCACAAATCCTAACTAAACTTTACAACTTACAAACAAAGACTAAAATACAATTACAACTGAAATCACACAAATGTTTACAAACTAAATAAAACGTCAAACAATTAACATAAATCAAACATAAAAACATGTAATTATGCACTACTAATTAGTGTGCATCAACCAATTTTCATACAGAAAACATATGTTCATTAAAACCATATGTATTCATTACGAATAGCCTCACAGAGAAACCAAAACCATGTATTCAATCCAACGCAGATACTATGAATAAAAGTTAGTAAAACATATTTCAACAATTTTAGACACTTCAATTGTTACCTTCTCATCAACTAAAACCAATTCCATTGATTTATTGCCCCTGTGTGCATCATCATATGGCACCAGCCACTTGCGAACCACACGTAATAAAAAGGCTTCATGACGTTGGAGTTGGAGTGTGACGTGAGATAAAATCTTTTTAACGGGAGGCATTGTTTTGTGAACTAAAGGGGTATGTGAACTAAAGGGGTATGAGAACTTTTTTTGCTTATTACACAATTCAGCGCGCGAAAGCAAAAGTTACGTGTTTGGTGAAAAAGTTGACTGATAGGCCTGATAGCCAAAAACAGTGTTGCCAAACGGCCTCTAAAGGTAATGAACAACGTGCTTTACTCATTTTCAACATGTTCTTTTTTATTTATACAACTTGATTTTATACTAAGCAATTTTGAAGTTAGATTTCATCAATTAGTGTAAGAGAAAAAAATATATATGGATGATTTTTTTCTTCTAATGTTTGATATTCTAATGTTTGATTTTTTAATGTTGATTAAAAAGAAACATGGGCAGTGGCAACAAGAACTCCCAATAGTGCCGTTGTCTGGTTCCGTCACTGTACCCAATTGTCACGTACACAGGCAATGTACACATTTTATGTACATTTTGTGTACACCAAGCATGGCCCATTGCAAATTCATCAAAATTCAGCAGATTCATCAACTATAAGTCTTGTGTAGTTACATGGTTGTTGGTCATTTAAGTCTTTATTTGAAGAGCAGGTTGGTCATATGTACTTATGAGCATGTTTTTGACGGGTCATCCTCCTTTCTATTTTCTTTTCTCAATTTATTCTTTCCATTTTTTTTCACTCTATCTCTCTTCTTAAAAATAATAATTAAACATAATCTTTTCTTTTTCTCTATCACACCATTTCCCCCACCTCTCTCTATCTCGACAACAGGTTTTGGAGGGATTTCTATTGCATATTCATCGAAATTCAGTGGGTTCATCAACAACAAAAGTCTTGAGTAGTGACATGATTGTTGGTCATTTCGGTCTTTAATTTTAAGGGCCCGGCCCCTTGGTTTATAATTTCTAATTTCTATCTTCACTAGAGCTTTTTCTCATTATAGTTTGTATTCTTTCTTTCCTATATTAATATAAAGTTTCTTTCTTTTAAATTTTAATACACAAAAACACAATTTCCTAATTTTCAGTGTAGAGTAAGCTCAACTTTATTTTATCTATAGTTAATTGCTACTGACGATGCTTGACGGTTCCCGTGAACGGTTTACGATGCTTGACTGACGATAAAGCAACTTAATCCCTGTTCACACTCTGATTAGTTTTAGTAAATAAAATTAATATATTTAGAAACTACATTAAAACCACTACAAAGGCTGATAAAAAAATGTAAATTTGATAAAAATTTAATTTATAGAGTAAACGATTAAAAATGATTTAAGTTGACCATGCAAATAGTGGGCTGGAACCTTCTAATGGGACGGAGGTAGTATAAAGTTTAAACTATTTATGGATATTATCGTTAATCAAATACTGATTGCAAAAGCCATGATTCCCATGGAATAGATAAACTCTTATATGCATACGTATAAAATCAACAAAATGATATTTATACACTTCATCATAATATAGCTCCAGTTGATACTCAGGTTTCTTAGTTGTGCTCCAAACAACAGGTTTTATCACTCTACCTCCATCATGAACTATTTAATTTAAGATGAAGCCTTGTGTTTTGTTAATTAAAAAATTCAGAATCTTTTTGGTGATTGTCGAGATCATAAG